TCGGCAGTGGAATCCAGGCTGCCAGGACGGGTCTGGGCCTGAACTAGAAATGCCGGAGGGTTCCTGGGCTGGGCGGGAAGGGGAGACAAGCTGGCACTTGCCACAGCACAGAATAGTAACTGGGAGGTGGCAGTGCCTGCTCTGAAACAGAGCGAAACTCTCAGGGCCTCCGGACACAGGCACACTGGTTCCCAGGCCCCTAAAGCTCCAGAGCTGGCCCCCGGGCTCAGTCAGTTAGGGTCAAGGGCAGAGCATGTTGCCTTCTTCACGCCCCCAGGACAGAGAGATGGTCACACACATTTACATCCTGGGATATTACTTCGGGCCCGTGGGCACGATTAACATTCCAAAGCTTCGGTTCCCCCTCATGACCTAATGGAAAGGGCACGAAGTCAGTCAGATAGGGCGGGTCAGCTTCCCACTCACCGTTTACCAGCTGAGTGACCTCGGGTAAGACTCTCTTAACAAATTTTTTAAAATGCCCCCGATGTACTTGAAACTAAAGCCATTTAAGGAAAATGGTGGTGGGCAAGATGAACCTGGCCGATTGGCTGGCAGTGCTGTATAGAAGGCAGGGCACTGAGCTGCAGCTGTTCCTTCAAAGTACAAGATGCTGGGAAGATTCCAGAAAAACTAATATTGGTAAATCACTCTTAGAATCGTATTGGGGAAGAACAACTTTCCCCTCTGGATTAAACATTTACCCCTCTGGGTAAAACATGCTAGTGTTTCTTTCCCTCCTCATCCTTTCTTAATGAATTAAAAGTACATGAATATATGAACGGAGTATGACACACTCAGTTCATGGGCATCATTCAAATCATGACCTGCACTTCCAGAAGTATGTTGAGCCCTGCACAATAAATGTTTGTTGATTGACTAACTAACCTGTCTGATTAGATGAAAGGGCAGAAGCAAGGATTGATTTCATGTCAACTGAGTAGATCTTCTTAGAAATCCTGCCTCTTATTTTAGAAGCTTCAAAGATTAGTGTTTTATTTCCCCAAATCCCCACTCACTGGCTCTACTATTTTGTTACCTCCTTCCATTTCTATTTATGCAGCAGCGATGCCCGGCTCTGCAGATAATGTTTTATAACTAGTGAACTAGAACAGCAAGAGCATTGAAGCTACTTGGCTATGCTAAGGGATTTGTCAGCCAGGCACCTGGCCAGGGAAGGCCTGGTGGGTCCTTCCTTGGATTTGAAAGGCCAAGGAGAGAAGCTGCTACTGTTAGCAGCCCAACGTTATGCAGATGTCACTGTGCTGGGGAGGGACAGGTGGTGTGTGGGCTGCCTCGTCTCTAATTCCTAGGTCTGAACAAAATAGGGGGAAAAAACAGTCCCAACAGAGTGGGATTGGAAGTATCCCAGGGGAGTTAAAACCAGGTAGCGCCATACATGAGACTTTGGTAACAAGTGGGAACAGCCCTGGGATAGGGGGTGGTGTAAGGGACAGACGAAGAACTGATTCTACTCTTAATTGATCTCTCCTATGAGTCATTTTATCTCATTTGAAGTTCAGAGATTTGCTCCTGAGCCGGAGTATGGCCACTTCCCGTGTGATCTATTATCCTCGATGAGCCTCAGTTTCCTAAAGTGTAAGGGGGAATACTAATACCTAATCCCTACGTATGCACGGAATAAATATGTATTGAACACTTACTGTGTGCCAGGCCCTGTGCCAAGTTCTCCACTGAGAACACAGTGGAAACAAGACAAAGTCCCTATCTTCCTGGAACTCATTTATACTCCAGGGCAGAACCCCCCCCAAATAGCAGCTCCCATGGAGTGTTTTATATGGCTCATGTAATTAAATTTGTTTCTTTTTTTTTTTTAATTTTTTTTTCAACGTTTATTTATTTTTGGGGGGACAGAGAGAGACAGAGCATGAACGGGGGAGGGGCAGAGAGAGAGGGAGACACAGAATCGGAAACAGGCTCCAGGCTCTGAGCCATCAGCCCAGAGCCCGACGCGGGGCTCGAACTCACAGACCGCGAGATCGTGACCTGGCTGAAGTCAGACGCTTAACCGACTGTGCCACCCAGGCGCCCCTAAATTTGTTTCTTTAAATGTGTTGCAAATGTATACAAAGTTTTACATAAAGTCTAGATTTCCCAGTGGCAAGGCTGGGCCTGTCTTTCTGCATGGCAACTATCAGCCAGAGCTTAGTGTCTGCTTCCCTTAAAAGGAAAGCATTTTCTCCAGGTAGCCACATTCTGCACATTTCCAGGCACTCTTATCTTGCTCAAACTTAAAGAATATTTTTATTTGTTTGTTTAGTTAAAACCTTTCCATCCTCCCTGACTATAAAGAGGTGAAAGCCTGGCTCTTGGATATGACATTCAAGGCCTCTTAGGTCTGTTTCCTGCCTGATTCGTCCCTACAAATACTAAAGCTCCGGCAAATTGAAACCTCCTGATCTTCCCACATGGTACCTCTGACCATTTGCAATGTTATTTTCTCTGCCCAAATGTTTTTTGCTTCTATTTTTCAATCCAGAAAATTGATACTGACCTGTCAGGGTCATTTTATTTTTTGTTTTAATTTTTTTTTCAACGTTTATTTATTTTTGGGACAGAGAGAGACAGAGCATGAACGGGGGAGGGGCAGAGAGAGAGGGAGACACAGAATCGGAAACAGGCTCCAGGCTCTGAGCCATCAGCCCAGAGCCCGACGCGGGGCTCGAACTCACAGACCGCGAGATCGTGACCTGGCTGAAGTCAGACGCTTAACCGACTGCGCCACCCAGGCGCCCCATGTCAGGGTCATTTTAAACATAACTCTCCCCATTTGTTCAAACTTTCTGTGAGGAAGTACCCAGAGAGTCACATGGCGTGGAGACCCTCAAAGATAGAAATGGCCCATTTGAGACCTGAGGGACAGCACTTGTTTTACATCTTACAGTTGGGCCCAGGGACCTTCCCAGTTGGTGACAAGTTGTAAAAAGCCTCAGCTTTCCCAATAAATAGGAACAAAATATAAACATGGAATGAAATAATGTCTGTGAGTGACATCTGATAATATTTCAAAAACCACATTTGACTGGGGTTATTGATGTTTAGTAAGTAACAGCAATTGTTCCTGTTGTCGTATTGATATTCCAAGTGGTGGTAATTTCATCGAGAATGGTAGGCCAGCAGCTGTAATGTGTGCTCTGGGAAGAGTCTATGAGGGCTGTAGAGTTGTGAAATGGTTAAGAGATGTGGTTGGAAAAGCAGGCTAGGGTGAGAGAGGGGCCTTCCAATTAGACTCCTTGCTTGGCCTTTTTCTGCATTCTTCCTATCTTAAACACAGCAGCCAGAGCGATGCTGCAAAACAAGTCACACCTTGTTGCGCTTACTCTAAAGCCCCTAGTGGCTCCCTATCTGCCTTAGAGTAAAAGCTAAAGTCATTACCTCTCACACCTTGTATCCCAACACTTTCCCCTCACTCCTTGCTCTGTTCCAGCCACTGAACCTCATTCTGACCTCCCTGACCCTCCTTTAATGAGCAAGTATGTGCTTACCTCAGGATCTTTTCATTTGATCGCCCCTCTTTCAGGAACCATCTTCCCTCTGCTATCTACACAGCTCCATCCAACACTTTCTTAGATCTCTACTCAAATGTCATCTTCTCCATAGTTAGTCTATCTAAAATTTTACTTCTTCCCTGCCCCCTCCCCTTCCTAACCTCGGTTGCCTTATTGTTCTCCTTGGAACTTATTACCAACCAATGTGCTTTACTTGCTTCACTTATTTATCTTGGTTATTTTCTGTCTCTCCCCACTGGAATCTAAGTACTAGAGAGCAGAAGTTCTTATGTGTCCTGCTCACTGCTGTATCCCCCAGAACCTAGAACAGAGCCCGGCACATAGTAGATACACAATAAACATGTGTTGGATGAGTGAATAGTGCTTTGATTCAATAAACCTTGGGAAGTCACAGAATGTTTTTGAGCAGGAAAGTGAATGGGGTCAGAGCTCACAAAGGGCTGCAGGACAGAGTAGAATGGGGCTGGAAGCTGGAGGATAGGAGGTAGTTACAATAGCAGAAGGACTCATAAGTGAAAGTTTAAACAGAGGGCTTCAGTACCAATAGAAGATGACAATAGGAGGTGGTAAGTTTCATGAGGGCAGGGAATTTGTCTGGCATATAGTAGGTGTTCAGTAAATATTTACTGAATGATGAATGAGGGAATGATGCTTGTGTTTTTCATGTGGGATGGCCTCAGGCCTTGGTCTGGGTCTGTGTGAGGAAAGACCTGAACCTTCTTTGCTCTTGACTCTGGGGTTCTTTCTCCTGGCCAGGAGTTACATGAGATCAACACTTAACTCTTACTTCGGTATGTACATCTTCCCTTCCTCCCTTCCTGCTAACCCCCCATGGCATGCAGTCACCTTTTAGGCCTCAGCTTAACTCAGACAAATTGGGGTTCAGGCTGTGGGAATTGAGGTGGGGTTCAGGCGGCAGGTTTCTACAGGCAGTGACCAGGTCGAATGAGCTTTTTGAATGCTATACAACCAAAGCCTTAGGTGACGTGGATAAATTAGTGTGGAAATTAGTGTGCCAGTCCAGAGCCCCTCAAGAGCATGGAAATCCCTGTGGACATCATCCATACCTTTTCTGCAAAACCACAAGTTATTGGATAGGAGGCTGATCTAGGTTGAGGCTGGGTATGTGGACTGTGTTAAGAGAAAGTTCCCACAGTGGGGGGGGGGGGGGGTTGGAGAGGGGGGAGGGGGGTGAGGTGGGGCTGTTGCTTGGTTAAAGAACCTCTCATTTATACCCTCCCTGGTCTGCCCTTCTCCTCAAAGGAATTATTCACTAGGCTCTGAGATCCACATTGGACCTTGTCCCTAATCCAATCAACAGAAATGAAGGGCTTCATATCCTCCCTGCCCCAAGAATAAACATATAGTAACTCGCTTCTGAATTTTCCAGGTTTCTATTAAGTGAATGTCTGGTGCCCAGAACTGCACCAGATCCTCGCCTAAAGATGGTGGAGAAAAATAACATTTGCATAGACTTATTCTTGTTTTATTTATTTAATTTGATCTTCTTGTCAATCCTGTGAAGTAGTATCCTCATGTAAGAGATGAATAAACTGAGGTCTAGCTCGTTCATGCAACTAGAAGTTGAGAGAAGGGAAATTTGAGACAAGTTTTGATTCATCCCAAACATCGGTTGTTTTTCTGAGGACATCAGTGCTGTCTCTAGAATTTGACCACAGAACTAGGAATTGTTTGGACGAGAAGGTGCTTGTGGAATGTGCTCAGGTCCTTCCCACAAAGGGGTTCAGGCTCAGACAGCAACAGCCACAAGCCAAAAGAATGGTCTGATAGTCCGGTCCCCTGACTCCCACGTGCTTTTTCTTTTGTCTTTAAAAACAGGTGATGATAATATCATTCTTAAATATTATGTTTATCTGCCTTAAAAATCAAATAATACTGAAAGCTTTATAACCAAAACATTGGCCCTCCCCACTCCTTATTTTTGTTGAGAGAATATTTCATCTCCTAATATTTTTGTTGAAATCTCTCATACCTTCTTATCCTACCCCTCCCCAATGCTTTTTGTCCTCTTCTTAACCTTGTGGTTGTACCAGAATGGTGGGGGGTGGGGTGGGGAGGGAAAACAGATAAAACACATTTGGTCAATCAGTCTTATTGAACAGAAGTCCAATTTCTTACCACATTGCCCTCCCCCCCCCCCCCCCATAGGATTCTGTATCCCCAGATAACTCATTTTGCTGAAGTCAACACATGTCCAGTGCTCAGGTAGCTTAGCCTTGAGCCTGACACTGGTAGGAACTCCTGGCTCATGAGAGCTCCTGTCTGGTCTGTGCCTTGCTGCCCTCAAGTCCCCTTGCTGCCCTCTGTCCCCTTGCTGCTGAGGCCAGAGATTGATTTACATGAGAAAACAGAGTAGATAACCACAGCGATGATCCCTCCCATCCACACTTGACCACGTTCAGAAAGCTTTCATGCCCACAGTCTCATTTTACAACAGCATAACATCATGGGATATGTTGTTCAGTACTGCCCATGAAGTCAAAATTGGGACACTGCTCTGTCCTGACAGGGCAGCATATTTAAAATCAGGACTGTGATGGGGCACCTGGGTGGTTCAGTCTGTTAAGCATCCAACTTCAGCTTAGATCATGATCTCCCAGTTTGTGGGTTTGTGAATTTGAGCCCCCTGTGGGGCTCTGCTCTGACAGCTCAGAGCCTGAAGCCCGCTTCAGATTCTATGTCTCCCTCTCTCTCTCTCTGCCCCTTGCCTCCTCTTATGTGTTCTCTGTCTCTCTCTCTCTCTCTCTCTCTCTCTCAAAAATAAATAAATAAATAAGCTTAAAATAAAATAAAATAAGATCAGGACTGTGAATCTTCACATTCATGGCAGTTTCTTATTTGGCTCTTATGTCTGCAGGGCCAGTGGAACTTTCTTTTGCCGGGGTGGGGGGGGGCCGGGGAGGGGTGGAAGTGGAGTCTCTGACTGGCACTGGAGGGGAGGAAGAATGATGGGAGGACCTCAGGGAGAGAGCTTACTTCCAAGTGATTTACTGGACCTTGTTTTTCCTCCTCTTCCCACATAGATCCAAATTTGGAATAAAGAAAACTATTCCTTTGAGGACACTTACCAGCACTTGGCTTAGTTCAAGGATAAAAAGAGAGTCAGAAACTAATAATTCTGAACACTTTAGTGGGGAATTCACCTAAAATCTCAAACTGAAAACTGTTTGATTGCCTGGGCTAGAAAGTGAGATTCATTTATAAATTATTTTTGCTGCAGCTTCCACTACAGAAATCTCAATAAGCCTCGAATTTGGATCACATTCTGGGACCCTCTATACAGGGTAAGGGGCAACAATTCAGGCTACAGTTTAGGCGATGTGTTAGGTTCATCTGTAGCCCCAGTACCTTGAAACACTTGGATGGAGCCAGAGATAAATCAGGGTAGGACTTGGGCTACAAAATGCCTTCCAGAAGGCTGGATGGGGTCTGAATTCCTCTGAGAGAGACCAGAATTGTATTGTTCAGTTTGATGTCCTCACCCCCTCTTCAACAGACCCGCTGACAAGTCACCCAGCCTATTGCCGTTACTGACTCCAGGGACACTAAATTCTCCACTGTCCTGAACCACTGGGAGCAGTCCCAGTTGCTACGCACCCTGCTCAGCGGAGAAGAGTGGGATTTGGGTCACATGGCTTTATTGTCATATGTTTGGTATTGTTGAGGTTAAAGCCTCTGGGTGGTGAAAGAGTCCTCACCAAGTAAGAGCTGCCTGGGAGCAGGAGAGAGGAATTCCCAGATTCCCTATAGCTATAAATCAATGCCTCTGTGTTGAAACATACATCTCACAGCCTGAAACTCAGACTCACAAATGAGTCAGCAATGCCTTACTTGAGCAGGGATGGAGGGCAAAGCAATGGAAACATCACAGGCCCAAGCCACACTGGGGATGTCTGAATCTTAGGAGTGATCTTTTGAGAACATAGAACTGATTCCTCAAGAGCCTTTGGGTTTTCTTATTCCCCAGACCAAGCAAGTGAGGTGTATCTCAAGCAAAGAAGACTTCAGGGTGGCCTATTGCCAGGTCTCATCATTCAAAGGACCCAGAAGTTCCTCTTGATCTCTACCTTAATTCCTCCTGCTTTATCCCCTTTCATTGATTCCTCAGTAGAGGGACACGAGAGTTGGGACTTTGTTTGCCATAGTATCAACAGTGCATAGATACATGCATAATTAAAAAATAATAAATTAACAACCAGTGCAGCATCAGTCAGTATAGATTCTGGTTGGGATGCTGAGCAGGGTCCAAGTGGAAGGGACCCTGGGCTTGGGTTCTAGTCTTGACTTTGTGTGTGATTTGCTACATGATCTAGAGCAAATCACTTGACCTCCTTGGACCTCAGTTTTCTCATCTATAAAAAGGGGGAATTTGGACTAGAAGTTGTAAACTCGTATGCCTACAGGGTCAGACAATTAACGTAAATGAGTGAATCCGGTAGGGTGGGGTTGTCCTGATTTTAACATGTGGATTCCATCTAAATGAGCAGCTGTTGTCGGATGGAACTGCTGAGCCAGGCTGTCTAGAGCCTGTCTTCAAGAGATGCTGAAAACCTAGATGTTTATGTGAAATCTCCTGGTGTTTAAGATACCGTGTGGGTCAAACAAACAAACATCTCTAAGCCAGTAATAGCCCTAGACCAGAGGATTTGATGGTCCCTCCCAGCTTGAATTTTCTGATTCTAAAGTATGTGTCTTCTAAAGAAAATCTTTAAGAAATCACTTTAGTTATAGGGATTTCTGCTAGTGCATAAGTGAATGCCTGTGTGTGGGCTCATACTTGTATGGTGTTGGGCTTTTGGCTCCCCTCAAATGATGCTCTCCTGGTGGTCTTTCCCCTCATCCCTCACACACACCTGCAGTGGACTGTTTGCTTGGTCTCAAGAGCCAAGCCCTGGGCCACATGGGAGATGCTGCTTGTCCAGTGAGCTCATCAGCAGTAAAGAGCAGGCTGTGCTGATGAGATAGTCCTTCCCCTCATGAAGGGAAGAGTGGCCACCAGCAGCGGCTGAGCCAGAGGCTGGCTGAGTCAGGCTTGGGGACTTGCTACCCTCCCAGCCTTCGCTGGATATGTCCCCAAGCATTGGGAATCAAGTTCCCATGATTACCAATCCGGAGCTCTCCAACACACCGGTATTAGTCTGATAGGGCCACTGGAACTAAGTACCACAGACTGGGTAGCTTAATTAACAGAAATGTCTTGTCTCACAGTTCTGTAGGCTGGAAGCCCAAAATCAAGGCATCCATAAGGTTGGATGCTTCCCAGGGCTCTGAGGGAAGGGTCTGTTCCAGGCCTTTCTCCTTGGCTTGGAGATGGCTGTCTTCTCCCTGTGTCTCTTCACATCATCTTCTCCCTCTGTGTCCAAATTTCCCTTTTCTATAAGGACACAGGTCAAATATGATTAGAGCCCACCCTAATGACCTCATTTTAACTTGATCACCTTTGTAACGACTCTTGTGTCCAAGTAAGGTCCCATTCTGAGGTACTGGAGGCTGTAGGACTTCAGCATCCGAATTTAAGGGGTGAGGGGACATAAATCAACCATAATATCACTCCTTTATGGTCTCTCTCTTGTTGCTTTAAACTTCAAAACCTAAGTACCCATAAGCATGTCCCTTCTTACCTGTGACAGCTCCATGCTTCAGGGTCTCATGTACTGGTACACAGCTCACTGTAAGCATGTACTCTGTAAGGACTGGGGTTCATTGTAGTGGGACAGGAGAGTGAACTCTCATCAAACATCTGATAGGGGACATACAGGACTTGAGTTTCAAGTAATAACAGAAGGTGTCACCTTATTCTGTGAGGCACAGTCTATATGCTTTTTATCTTTATACCAAAATTTCAAGTATTTATACATCACTCAATAAGTACCAAAATACTGTTCCAAATACTTTATATGAAGCAATTTATTGAACTCCCACAGCACTCATTTGAGGTGGGTACTCTTGTTTACTGCATTGTACTGATAAGAAACTGAGGCTCAGAGATCTTAAGAACCTTTGTCAAGTCAGTAGTAACTGATGAAGTTGGAGTTTGAATCCTAAAAGTTAGCTCCTGAGGCCACGCTTTTAATCATTACCGGATAGTGACTGGAAAAGGCAGTCTCTCACATATTATTCTCACTGAAAAGACAAGAAAAGTGAAACCAAGAAGCCAAGTAACTTACCCTGAGTCACTCGGGTAAGAGGCAGAATAAAGGCAGAATCCCTGCCCTGAAAGCCACCGAGCTTCTTCTCCATGGGATCAAGTGTCCTGAGTCCCTTCCCCTTATCCCACTCACTGACACAGGCCCACGGGTAGAAGGGCCTGCCCAGAATCTCTAAACCCTTGCTTGTGGTTAACTATCTCCAAAACCGCAGGGGAACCATGGGGTACGTGGAAAGGGGGGGGACCCTCTCAACTCAGATCTGATTTCCCAGGCGCTCCCAGTTCCCAAGACCACCAGCCCGAGGCATAAGGTCCAGCCTGGAGTCTGGGAATTTTCTCAGCCAGAGTTAGAAGCCAGAGAGCGAGGTGGGGAAGGGGCTGGGCGGCGCGGGGCCGCCCAGGAACGCAGAGTATCAGATTTCCCGTAAGCCGCCAATCCTGAACGCGAGGGGGCGTGGCCACACCTGGGAGGCGTGGCCGGACTGCGGAGGGGGGCTGCGGCGTCCTAGGGCGAGGCGGTGACGTGAGCTCCGCGCACCTGGGCCCGGCAGGTAAGGGCCGGTGCGGGACGGAGAGCGGAGCTCGAAGAGTCTACCTGCGCAAACCCAGGTATTGCTTGCTGACCGGTCAAGGAGTGCTGGGGACTTAGTTCGGGGGACGACCGCTTCTTGTAGCAAGATTGAGAAAAGGTGAGGACGCTAACTTCTGAACACTAGTTTTGGGGGGAGGGGGCTGGGGACACACCCTCCCCAGAGTTTGTGGGGTTAGGAACCTTGCTTGAGGACATCTGTTTGTTGGGGGGGGGGGGACTCTCAGGGGCTGGATGCTTGTCGCCCTGCTTTAGGTAGCTTTTGGGCGGTCCTAGCCCTGGAGTACGGGGCCCCTCCCGACCCCACACTTCTCTCTACTCCCTTTCCCTCCCTGCCCTACTGGAGCGTGCCGCTCTCGGCCCTTATCCACCCACCAGAGGATAGAGCTACGTCGCCTCCACCCCTCCGGTGGAGGCCCAGCTCGCTGGGCCGCCGGCCCCAGTGTCCCAAAGGGGATTTCCGAGGCCTGCGGGCCCTTGGTCCTGGTGGGGGTTTGGGGAAATGGAGATGGGGGCGGCCAGGCGCTTTAGCCAGTTTGTTTTTTCTCTTTGAATTTGTTTAGTGCAGCCAGGCCCCTCGCCTTGGGCCTGGGAGACACCACTGGCTTTCCAAGTAGTCAAGCTTGGTGTTGGGGAGGGTGGTGCAGGGCGTGGTTGCTCTGGGGGTGAGGCCCTCTTTGCCCAAGGGGATGGAGGGTGGGTGTGGAAAACTGGGGAAAGTCTCCCAGGCCCAACTGGAAAGGAGGCCCCGGGTGCCACTCTTTCCGGGGAGCCTGCTTTATAATGAAGGGGTCACCTCTGTCCCGACCCTGCTCTCCTGGTGGATGTCAAAAGTGGAAGCCAGGGAAGGGAGAGGGAGAAGGCGCTTGAGTAGGAGTTGGTGCTGACCCAGGAGAGTAGTTTAAGGTTAGATGTGTGCATAACACATAACAGCAGCACCATCTCACCAGCCCCCAACTTCAATCCAGCAGGGAGGAAGGGCATGGGAATTATGGCACAGAATTTACCTCTAAGCAGGGCTAAACTAAAGGGAAGAAAGGCTGGGGAACTGGGAAGATGGCGTTCGGTTCCCTGCAGGGGAAGGACAAAAAGCAGGACTCCCTGGCAAATGCTTTTCACTCTGAGCCAAACCATTGACAGCCCAATCTCAAATCTCTACTTTGAGGTAGTGCTGCCCTTGGAAACTCGTCTGGGCAAGGGCTGCAGAGGTGGCAGTGGGGGTGTTTATAGAGGGCCTGCTCCCTGGAATGGGGGTGTGAGAGAGGAGAATTAGTGCCTGAGGGAGGTTGAAAGTATCCCAGCTGGATGCCCAGCGTGAGGGGAGTGGATGGGTTAGCATCTTTGTTCTTTGGCTGGTCAAATACCTATTGGAGACACAGACCTTGAATTTCACTGTGATGGCAGCTGGAGATACTAGGGCTGACTTCAGCTAGGCTAAGTTTCTGTGGGCATTGAGATTTGGGCGCTGAGAATGTTTTGGAAGAGAACTCTGATTTAGGTGTGTTTGGTGGCAGGTGTCATGCAGTCTTCTCCCTAACCACTTCCTTGGCCCTTCGTGCTGCTGGGATCTTGTGAATGTTTTTGGTTTACTCTCTTAGTGTGTAGAAGAAGGGAGGGATTTGGAAGGCAGGGTTAGTGGCAAGATTCAGTACAGCACACTCTGATGAGGAGTGTTGGGTCCAGGCCCCAGATAAAGCACTTTTCTGGGTCTCCGTTAACCCAGCTATAAAATGGGGATGAGGGGCGCCTGGGTGGCTCAGTCAGTTAAGCCTCCGACTTCGACTCAGGTCATGATCTCGCGGTCCGTGGGTTTGAGCCCCACGTCGGGCTCTGTGCTGACAGCTCAGAGCCTGGAGCCTGTTTCAGATTCTGTGTCTCCCTCTTTCTCTGACCCTCCCCTGTTCATGCTCTCTCTCTCTGTCTCAAAAATAAATAAACGTTAAAAAAAAATTTTTTTAATGGGGATGATAATACATGCCACTTCCTGATCATGAGGATGAAATCAAACACGGTAAATAAAAGTGTATGTAAACTTTGTAAAGTCAGTGTAGATATGAAGGATTGTTGGTACCGTGCTCTCATTAGCTGAAGAACATCATCTTTTATACCTTCCAGGGGCCAAGAAATGTCTTAGCTTCCTAAGCTAATATTTTTTTTTGGTTGAAAAAATATTACTTGTAGCTTTTTTATTATTGTTTTCATGAATTGAAACATGTCATTGTAGGAAAATGTGAATCATATACACAAGTATATGAGCAAGTATAAAATTCACTCAATCCCATCACCAGGTAACCATTGTGAATATCTTGTTACATTGATGTATTATCTCTTCCTTTTTTAAATTATGTGTGTATGTGCCTAAGTACCCAAGTGCATGTTAGTTACAAGGTGAACATACTAGTCTACAGTCAATATTGTATGCTGTATTTTCTCCCTTAACTTCATGTTGTAAACATTTCCCCAGATCCAATAAAAATTCTTCAGACGTCCCGTTGTTAATGACTGCTTAATATTGCAGCCTGTGAATTAGCCATTTTCCTCTGTTATTTTGGTTGCTTCCAGCTTTTCCTTCTCTGCCAGTGTTTAGAGTCTTAGTTACTGGGTGGCAGGTGAGGGAGATCTTGGCTGACTTCCAGAAGGTGGAGAGGGTTAGCAGTGAGGGAGGTGGGGCATGGAGGAAGGCAGGCTGGGGCGGGGTTGCTCATGTGTGGTGCCATCTTGAGAGAATGTTGAGAACCCAGGACTCTAGATCTTAACAATCCATCTCTATGGGTGGCTGCTTCTCCTTCCCTATCACTATGTGCAGTTCCCCATGTTGGCTCCGTTGCTTTAATTTTTTTCTTGATGAGCTGTCAATCAACTAGGATAAGCCCTTTTCTTCAAAGTCCATCCAGACGGAGATTTCCCATGTCTGACAAGCATAGACCCAGCATTCACTGGTACTGCAAAAGTTCCTTGCAGGGTTGACCAACGTGTCGCCCATGTCCCTATTCGTCCTTTCCTTGCCCCATCCCCTTTCCAGTAGCCTAGGACTGAGGAGGAGAAGGTAGAACTTGCCCTTAGGAGAATATGCATTCTCTACTCCTTATAAGGTAAATGTTCTCCACGGTTTGGTGGCTTGACTTGCTGCCCTTCCAAAACCATGGCCAACAACGTGGGGAGGGGGGGGGGGGACAGTTGAATACTGCATGCCAACCTTGCCTGCCCACTGTGAGCTGTGCTCCCAGGGGGAAGGTTTCAGTTGCAGGACTTGTTAATTGGGTCAGAAGGCTCAGGTGAGAGCAGGTCCTGCCTTGCTCTTAAAGTGCCAGAAGCTGAGTTGGTTTGGGTTTTCCCTGTTTGTTGGGTGTCTGGCTGGGGAAGGAAGTGGTGGCTGAGGCCACCCCCTCAGCTAAGCTCCTCTGAGTGGGAGCCTTCAGCTGACTCAACTGGTTTGGTTTCTGAACTGTGATCCAGGTGGGGATCTTCCTGGGTGTGAAGGTGACTTATTTATCTTCCTTTCCTCAGGCCACTGTGGGGCTTGAGCACTTCCAATGTGGGTTTCTTCAGGGAGTCTGAGGAAAACTATGTGCTTTTTAACGGACATAGTGCTGGACACACAGTAGCTGATGAACACATATTTGTTGAGTGAACGCTATTTTGCAGGCCTCCCTTTTTCACCTGAAGTAAAAACAAAGTAAGATGAGAACACCCAAAAAATCTAAACACAACATCCCAAGCAAACAGGTCTCTAGTGACTGACTAGTCTTTCCTAAAGACACCCAATCTGGGCAGGCCTCTGTTTCCTGCTGTGAGTGCTGGCTGCTGCCGAATGTTATCTGCTGTGCCCGTGTATTTTTATGAGAATCAATCGCAGACTTTACCCAGGCCAGCTCCTGCAACCAAAGAGGTCACTCTAGCCTTCGTGTGGAGACAAACAGACCCGGGTGGAGGAGGCTGCCTGAGCAGAACAGAGCCTGTCTTATGATTGTGGTTAGCAGCCTAAGTTTAGGAACTGTAGCATTTGATTATTCTAGGGCTCCTGGACTTTTCTGGAGTCAGGTGCAAGAAAGGGTCCTCAGAGCCTTTGTCTCCCATGTTCCCTAGTATTCTCCCAGCCACTGGATTGTCCTGTTGATAACCAACTCAGACCCCTTTTTTCTTGCTCCAGAGTCTTTGGGTGGTCCAGAGAAAAGGAAGCTGACCTGAGGTCCAGCTCTTCAGAACCCCGTGGAGACACTGCCTGCTCATCTCTGTAAGTGAGGATGTTGGAACCAGGACCTGCCCCTTGTCTACTTCTCTCTCACCACAATGGGGTCATTTCTTCCTAAAATATTCCCCACTCGCCTTTAGTTCTCTTGTTGAAAAAGAGAGTGTGCTTCAAATTCTTACCCTGTATCTTTGCTGTTTCCGTACCTTTTTTTCTTCCTTTTCCTGAGATGAGATTGAAAAGAGCAATTCCAAGAGCCCTTGGTTCTTCAGGAAGGACTGTGTTCCAGCAGGGATGACATCATCCTTTTTTCTTTTTCTGCTTCAGGATTTAAATAGAAGAAATGTGATCCACTTACATGATAAGTCTGATTTGGCTAGAACATGAAGCATAAATGGCTTTGGAATAAGAATCAAAAGGACCTTTTAACCTCTTTTCTTTTCTTCCTTACCTGGCACAGTGTATTCCCATATTTAGTTTCTTTGCTGTAATCTAATGAAACTGTAGCTCTATCATACGGGAACAGTGGCTGGGAAAAGTTCCCAGAGGCTGGCCTAATTCTCCTGCGCTCTCTACTCTTTACCCCTCCACCCAGATCATGGCCCTCCACCCCCGCAGAGTTCGGCTGAAGCCCTGGCTGGTGGCCCAGGTGGATAGTGGCCTGTACCCTGGGCTCATCTGGCTACACAGGGACTCCAAGCGCTTCCAGATTCCCTGGAAACATGCCACCCGGCATAGCCCCCAACAAGAGGAGGAAAATACCATTTTCAAGGTAAAGGACTTCTTCTACCATCGGACCGGTTCTATCAGACCTATGTGGATGTTTTCGGTTGTTCTGTTTTCTATTTTGGCATGGGGATACACTAGATCCAAATGCTCCTGCATCAGAGAGAATGTTTATGAAGGGGGTGCCCAAACTTAGGCGTAGTAATTTCTCCTGCTGGGGCATGTCCATAATGTTTGAGGCCGTTTATTCTTTCCCATTGGTCGAAGGAGCTCGACTCACATCCCAAAAGATCCCGGGTGCAGTTGGCTAAACTACAAATGATTGGACTGATGGGGTTGTTCCAAAAGCTCCCAGGGTCAGCAGATAACTCTTGTTCTTCGTTCACTCAGGGTTCTTGCTATGGAGCTTGGGCCAGGGACAGCTCTCCAACCCAGGACAGAACTACTGAGTGTTAGCAGGCTCCTAACATAGACCATAGGATGGGTGTAGAGGGTTCTTTGCAAGTTTTTCTTTTGGTATTAAAATCCCTTACCCAACCCATCACCTCTGCTTAAAAATGAGAGATGATATAGTGCAAGCTTTTATTCTACAAATATGTTTTCTTAAATAAAAAATACCTGATATGAGAATTGTTTTACTTAACTGAAAACCAGATTTAATCACTGGCCTTTTACAAAATCTTGTGAAGCCAAAGCTTGACTTAAGACAGACGTAGGTGGGAAGCTGGTTGTGGGAAGGAGTGTTATGTTGTTTGTAACTCTGGAGCCTGTGCCTCTGCTCCGGACCAACTGCTCTGTGCTGGCCAGTCTTCTGTGTCAGCTGCTGGCTTAAGTTCCTGCCTCTCCAAGTCACAGAGAAGTGAGTTTAGCCTCTTCTTCCCTCTCTAAGCTGGAAGTCAGAAGGAAATCCGGTCCTTATGCTGGGCCCCTCAAGAGTGACACCCCAAGTTCTTGCTGAGATTGGACCAGAAAAGGTGGGCTCGCCCCTCAAAGGAGAGCCATCTGAGAGATGTTTCCCAACTCAGTTATATCAGGTATAGACCCAGGTAGTGGAGAGAAAATTGGTCTGAGAGCACTTAGAAAGAAAGTAAAGGAGCACTTTTAATTTACCAATTAAATAACGGTATGAAAATGGTAGGGAAGACATCTTGAAACCAGTACCAATTGCTGGAGTTGGCATGGAGGGGGGAATTGACCTGCCCTGGCCCAGCTGACTTGTGGTTGTGGCCTTGGTCTGAAACTGGATTTGCTGTTGGTGGCTGGGGGTGGCTGGCCATGGGGGAAGAGGCTGGTTCCTGAAAGCCCTATTCACGAGAGCAATCTGTGTGCTTCGGGCTTGAGAAAAAAGTGGCTGCAGGAAGCTTTTCTTATTTATATCTGGATCTCTGCTTGTGGAATAGTCAGGGAGGGCCTTTAAGTCAGGAGAAGAGTGAGGGTGCTTTCACCCATCCCAAGCTCTGACAGGCCTTGGGCAGGTTGTGTCGGGGGGAGGGGGAAGCAGCGGGGTGCTAGCATTAAATGGGTGTCCACTATCTCATTTAATTCTCAGGAACTCTGTAGGGGGGGGGGTATTCCTCTTATGTTGTAGATGCAGAGGCTGAGTCTCAGGGGGACTAAATAATTTGCCAGAATCACACATCCAGCAATGGGTGTGGCCTGGATTTGAACCCAAGCCTATCTGCTCCCCCATTACCATACTACCTCATTCTGACCAGGAATTGGAAGATCTGATTTCAAATCCTACTACTATCAATTGCACATATGGTCTTGAACAGGTCACATAGTCTCTTTGGGTTTTAGCTTCCCCTTTGGTAAAATGGAGACGAAACCAGTCTTGCCTGCCTCAGAGGATTGTCATGAGAATTGAGTGAAATAATGTATGGGGAGAAATAGTGAATTGCCATCAAAATACAGAGGTTACTTCCATTTCTGGAAGGGGAATAGGGACCTCCACAGTGACCCGAGTGTCAGAAGCAAGACTCAGAATGGGTTTGAGTAAGTCATGTTTATAAATCCCAGTGAATGCCATGTGTCTGGTACTGTGATCTGCTGCATCAGCCCTGGCCCTTTGAACCTTCTGAGTGGGTCCTGAGGAGGAATGTCTGTGTTGTGAGCAGTAAGGCTGGGGCAGTGCTTCTGGGTTAGTCTGGCTGCTCTCCATGGAGGGGCAGGGATTTAGGGAGCCACAGAAACTTGAAGACCCATGCCAAAGTCAGCACAGTCCATGCCAGCTGGGTGGGGCCAGAGTGGGAGAGGGTACAGGGGATCAAATAAACGGAAAGGTAAATGTGGCAAGGCAGCAGTCAGGCACAACTGGAGATGTGCTTCCCAGACCCTAGGGATCGATGAAGTTGAAATCCCCTGTGGGGAGCTGTTTGGAATGGTGCCAGTGCAGCCACCTAGGGCAGACCTCTTCATCCTATAGTGCGAAACAGGTGCCCCCAAGCCTGAGGAAATGGTAAGAAGTGAGCTGGAATTAGAAGATAAGGATTTAAATTAGTTTTGGAAGAAACTTCCTCGTGATGGTCAGGTTCTGCAGGGAGGGACTGAGGGAGATCAGAGATCTCAAAGGATGGGGCAGGACATTTCCATTTCAGCTTGAGGTCAGAAGCAGAGGCAGAGAGTTGGGACTGGACGTGTGCCCTGTCCACTTGAACAAGTTGGTGTGTGCTTCCTGATCTTGACTACTCTGCTAATGACATCCCCCTTCTCTGCATCAGAACGTGATGTCCTGAAGAAAGCATAGAGATCTGAGACTGTATTAGCAGCCGGGGAGAGTGGATATCCCGTGAGTGGAAACAGACATGCCATTGGACCTGGAAACTGAAAACCAGAGTGGAGGAGCCAAAGTGGTTTTAGCTCATGCCACCAGCCCCTGGTGTTTGCAGCAAAGTATTTCCAGTGAAGTGGGACTTTGAGGAACTAGGGAAGGGCAGGGGGTGGGGGTTTACTAGGACATGGGGTCAGCTGAATGAGGCCCTCAGTGTTCAGCTGAACTCCCAGAGTGTGCTTCCTGTCCTCCTACAGGCTCTTATTCCTAAAGGTACTTGTTTTCTACAATTATTTAAGCATCAGAGTGAGGGATGTAGTGGGGAGGGAACAGCAAGGCCAAACTCTTCATATCACATGCCATCTCCTTCTGTCTTGTAAGTAATTAATGTCAAAACAAATAAGCCAAAAAAATTTACCTGAAATCCTGCTATCCAAAGTTACCACTAGCATTTTGGTGTATACAGTTGACATTTGAACAATATGGGTTTGAACTGTGCAGGTCCGCTTATATGCGGATTTTTTTTTGACAAATACAGTACTGTGTATTTTTCTTATGATTTTCTTACTAGCATGTCTTTTCTCTAGCTTATTTCATTATAATACAGCATATGATATACAAAATATGTGTTAATCGACTGTTACCAGTAAGGCTTCTGGTCAACAGGAGGCTAGTAGTAGTTAAGTTTTGGGGAGTCAAAAATTATATGTGTGGATTTTTGGGGCACCTGGGTGGCTGAGTCAGTTAAGTGTCTGACTTGATTTCGGCTCAGATCATGGTCTCATGGTTCATGAGTTTGAGCCCTTCACTGGGCTCTGCACTGACAGTGCAGAGCCTGCTTGGGATTCTGTCTGTCTGTGTGTCTGTCTGTCTGTCTCTCTCTCTCTCTCTGCCCCCTTCCCCACTCGCTATCTCTTTTTTCAAAATAAATAAAAAAAAAATTAAAAATGTATGTGGAGTTTTGACTGTGCAAGGAGTCAGTATTCCTGACCCCTATAGTGTTCAAGAGTGAATTGTATTTTTTTCCAGACTTTTCTTTATTTTTAACCCTCGTTACAGCCACTCTTGACAGGTGGTGCTGGCATCAACACTTGAGATGAGGCTCCTCCTTTCAAAAGATTGTGTTTACTTATGGCTTAATTTCCCTCAGGCCCTGCTTTGCCTGGTCCTGAGGGTGGTGTTTCCTGCTGTAGGCTCTCTAAATTGGGATTGGGATGGTGGGGCAGCAAGGCAGGGGTGTGTGTGCATGTGTGTCTGTATGGGAGAGGGTGAGTACACTTTGTACTGGGCAACAGCAGGCATTCACTACAGTTTCCTATTCTTCAGGCCTGGGCTGTGGAGACTGGGAAGTACCAGGAAGGAGTGGATGACCCTGACCCGGCTAAATGGAAGGCCCAGCTCCGCTGTGCTCTCAACAAGAGCAGGGAATTCAACCTGATGTATGATGGCACCAAGGAAGTGCCCATGAACCCAGTGAAGATATATCAAGTGTGTGACATTCCCCAGCCTCAGGGGTCAATCATTAACCCAGGTGAGGCCCCAGCTGCTGGGGAGACGGGGATAGTGAACCAGGTTCTGGGCTAGGCTCTTAAGGAGATAGTTGGGGGCGCCTGGGTGGCTCAGTCGGGTTAAGCGTTGGACTTCAGCTCAGGTCACGATCTCATGGCTCATGAGTTCAAGCCCTGTGTCAGGCTCTGTGCTGACAGCTCAGAGCCTGGAGCCGGCTTCTGATTCTCTGTCTTCCTCTCTCTCTGCCCCTCTCCTGCTTGTGCTCTGTCTCTCTCAAAAATAAATAAACATTTAAAAAACTTAAATAAAAAAGAGATAGTTGACTTGAAAATCTCTTACAAAGTTTAAGATTGGTAAAGCAAGAAGGCCTTTCCCTAGGAAGGACTCAGAGAACAAAAGATGTAAAGACAACAAAATCTTCTTGTTCACTTAGGGGAATACTCACTAGCCTGACTGCTTAAAGCATTAGAATATAGAGGCTATGTAGATTCCTACTATAGGAAGAGCTTCCTTTGGGACTCACCACTGAGAGGAGAGGTCAAGTAGTTTTGAAGATAGAGGAATTAAACCTTAGTAGGTTTGAGTTCTGAACCTGGCTCTTATCACTTTGCTACTTGTGAAACATCGAATCAAGTCATATGAACTTTGAGCCTCAGTTTCTTCAATGGTAAAATCTGGGTTCTCATCTTTCCTGCCTACTTCAAAGACTATTGTTAAGACTCAACTGACATGACATTTAAAAGCTATTAAGTTCTCTGTAAATGTTGGATGAGTGATTATTTAATTTGTAGGATACTTTTTCTAAGCGAATATCACCTGATCCTCCTGTTTACCCAATGCCTGGCAAGTACCAACTAAAGGCCAGACAATTTAGACTTGTCCTCCAGTGAATCTAGTGAGCCCCTGCCAAGAGGGAAGCATCTGTCCTCACTTTAAGCTTAAAGGAGAGAAGTTAGTGTTCTTGAGTCCTTAAAAGCGATGTTAATGTGTAGCAAAAGTAGGAATTAAGAGATTTCTAGGAAAGGGGAGTAGGGCGTGCAGGTCCTAAGTAGGGGAGGGGAAGAAAGCTCATGTTAGGGCTCAATAGGAGTTGGAGCCAGAGGTTAATACAGCTTTGGTTCCCATTCTTTTTGGCTAGGATGTGGAGGGAGCACACTGAACCCGGGGAACCTCTGTACTAACAGTACCTAATATGTACAGTGGATCAGCAGCAAGGATGGTGGTGCAACCTGAGTGGCTCACTTGGTGGCTTGTGTGTCTGTTTCTCGGGTAGGATCCACTGGATCTGCTCCTTGGGATGAGAAGGATAATGATGTAGATGAAGAAGATGAGGAAGATGAGCTTGACCAGTCACAGCACCATGTTCCCATCCAGGACACCTTCCCCTTCCTGAACATCAATGGTGAGTGGGGGTGATAGGTGGTACAGAAGAGTGAGGAGGATGGAAGAGGCTTTGCCTTTGCAACTGCTGACCCCTCGGCCCCCACGGCACTGGGAGCAGTGACCAGGTCCTGTGGCCAAGCTGCTGGTCCATTAGCAAGTAGGGGTCATAGACAAAGGAAGTCTGCTGGCCCAGTTATCCCAGAGGGTGGCTTCCAGGCCTAGAGACATCTGAATCTTACACATAATTCAGAGAAATTAAAAATTCAAATTCGTTCTCAATCCCATATACAAATACATCAGTTATAAATTTCACTAATTTTCCTTAAGGCCAAGTGCAGCAGATACCATTTTTATGAATTGTAGGCAAAGTCTTTCACTATTTCTCTTGGTATGAATTTTGTGTCACTTTCTTAGCAGAGTCTACTTTGCGAGGGCTATATCATGAGAATCTTGTGATTTCTACATCTCTTAATACTAGGCTTTGATAGCATTTATCTGCAGGAGACTTTTTGCTTCCCTTATGGACTTTTTGAATTCAGCTTCCCAGGAAAAATGAGAGATTGGAAGGTCACTGTGACAAGGTAGGTCGTGACTCTGCCACTGCACATTCTGAAGAAGCTCAAACACGAGGTGAATTGCTTTTCAGCATCTTCACTTGGACTGTCCATTTGACTAGGAGCAAATGCTATGCATTTAGTTCAGAAGCTGTCATTGCCTTTCTAATTCCATCTGGCTGCTACAGATCAAATGAGATACTTGTGCCATTTAGAGAATTTAATATATCAAGATGATTCCTTTGCTCTTTTGGAGTACTCTACTCTAGGTGATTCCCTTGCCTTTGAGAATCAAGAAACAACCCTTATTGTCTTTTCACTTGCCCTCCTTCACTTAACCTGCCATTTACATCTTTACAACCAAGTGATGAGTAAAGAAAAATATCATTGAGCTTTTTCACGGTCCGTTTTGCCACGTGCTACATTCCCACTTAGTGATTTGAGCTGGATACCTGGAGATGTGAGATCCTTTCCCAAATCCTTTACTGACTTATTCTATTATTCTTACCCCTGAAAAGGATGCAACCTATTTCCAGGATCTTGATTTCCTATTTCTGTTCATATTTTACTAAACTAAAGTTGTGTGGCCTTATGTAACGGGCTGCCTTGGATCCTTTTTGGGAAGATGTGGGACGTCTGTTAAAAACAAAAAAGTAAAATGGGTACATAGATTTAACCAGGCTTGTGCACAAAGGGTCAAAGAAACATTAACTTCTATGATTTCAGAGCTGTTGGGGCAGAGGAAGAATTGTTGAAGGATAGATGCCTAAGAGGTGAGGCTAGGAGGAGAAATCTGTAGACTTTGGAGTGAGTCAACTCTGACAAGAGCAGGAAAATAGGATGGGTGTTTCACTATCTTTCTTAAAAAGCTTTGATTAGATGCTTTTGAATAAATAGTGGTCTTACGTGGTTTAAAATTCAAGATGGTACAAATGAATCAATTTATTGATTATTACAAAGGTAATCAGTTAAAAGGTTTTCCCTCCTTTCTGTCTCTGAACCTCCTGCTCAGCTTCCCTGGAGCAAAGAGATCCTTTCAGGTTTTGGGGTATCCTTTCAGATGTTTTGTGTATCTAAAAGTATTTGTTTGTTTTTAATGGAATTTCTATACACTGAAAACTAATCAATTCAGTTGAGTTCATTTTATTGAAGACAGCCAACTCCTACTTAATTGCTGGGGTCGAAATCTGCAACAGGGAGCCTCTCATTCATGCCCATTCTAATTTAACCCCAGAGAAGACTCACATGTCTGTTAATCGTCAACAAAGGCAGGTTTTCTGAACGATGAGTTTATGGGAGAACTAATACGATTAGGAAGCAGAAGAAGGAGGGGAACCTTATTATCATGTTAGTTGTGGGAATCATTCATTGATGGGTTGCTGCCACACCAAGTTATAGTCCAGTGTTTGACTCTTGTCTGTTGATCTTGTTAGGTTTTAGAGCCTCAGACCAGGTGATGTACGTATGTGGTACCCCTGCCTGCTCACCCGCATCCTTCTGTTCTAGGTTCTCCCATGGCACCAGCCAGTGTGGGCAACTGCAGTGTGGGTAACTGCAGCCCTGAAGCAGTGTGGCCTAAAACTGAACCTCTGGAAATGGAAGTACCCCAGGCACCCATACAGCCTTTCTATAGCTCTCCAGAGCTGTGGATAAGCTCTCTCCCCAGTAAGTGAGCCTTGATCTTTCTAGTTGGGTCTTTAGCTCCTGTTATAGTCCCTTCCCTGCCCCACCTTCTGCTTCCATTTATTTGCCATGTATAGAGTAGCTACCTATCCTCCAGGCAGCCTCTGTCTGGTTCCTGGCTGGCCGATGAGTCACCAGGGAAGAAGTAAAGAAACATTAGTTCATATCTACTTGCCCATGGGAGTGCTCTGATTCATTGCAGCTCTAGGCTACTCACCTCTTAGGTGGGTAGAAATCCTAGGTTAATCAGTTTGGCTAGGAGATCTGGGGACAAGGCCAGTTGTGGGATAAGAAGATGAATTAACATGGATTCAATAAAGAAGGCTCTTAGAATTTGAGGGGCTGCTGAGTGGGAGAAAATGTTTCTGAATTGAACACAAATTGATCTCAATGAAGAATCAATGTCATTGTCCCATCTCCCTTTCACAGTGTACGTGGTGGTAGTGGGGATGGGGTGGGGGGTGGGGATGCAGGTGCTAGCATTTTGTCCAAGAGGCTAATAGCTTTGATAAGATCTATAAGGTTCAATGGAGGTTTGATGAGTGAAAATTTACTTTGCTGTGAACTGTGTCCTTTTATGATAAATTGTTAGAACAGATCCACAGAGTGTGCTCATATGTTTTCAGAAGACGGATTGATATTTTTTTATTATTCCTCTGGGATAATTTCTTTAAAAATGAGCCAAAAATGTGACACAAACCAGATACTTTGGTTTTTAGCTCTTTCCAATGCTTCCTGATGTGAAGACTTAAGTCAGTATAAGTGAGGAGACTGGCCCCAGAAGTCTGCCTGGAGAAATTCTAGCCCTTAGGGTGTGATGATTAAACAGAGATAGTATACAGGGACCTTGAACTGTCTGCTTTAAGGCAGCCTTTTGACTGAATATTCCAGGAATAGGTTGATGTCTCCCTTTATTACAGGAAGGATAACTATGGCAGTGACCTTCCTGAATGCTGGTTGAAAACTGGCCTGATCTTGATGGACTTGTATGAGTCTCAAGGATAGACAGGCCGAGCAGCAGAGCAGGACTCTCACTGTCCTCTCTCACCTTGCAGTGACTGACCTGGACATCAAGTTTCAGTACCGTGGGAAGGAATATGGGCAGACCATGACGGTGAGCAACCCCCAGGGCTGCCGGCTCTTCTATGGGGACCTGGGTCCCATGCCTGACCAAGAGGAGCTCTTCGGTCCTGTCAGCCTGGAGCAGGTCAAGTTCCCAGGTCCAGAGCACATCACCAATGAGAAGCAGAAGCTGTTCACCAGTAAACTGCTAGATGTCATGGACAGAGGACTGATCCTAGAGGTCAGCGGTCATGCCATTTATGCCATCAGGCTGTGCCAGTGCAAGGTGTACTGGTCTGGGCCATGTGCCCCATCACCTGTTGCCCCCAACCTGATTGAGAGACAAAAGAAGGTCAAACTATTCTGTCTGGAAACATTCCTTAGTGGTAAGTCGTTTTTCAGAAGGTTGATGGTTGGGCACTGTTCCCTGGAAGGTTTTCCTCCTTGCCTTCCCCACCCCCTTCTTGGATCTGCAAAGATCTTAATAAAAAACTACTTCTGGAGGAAGTCAAGGGAACTTTAGTGCTGAAAACTGAAAGTGACCTGGGCAACAAAGAAGGGCTTTCCACTCCAAAGCTATGTACTTGGAAGCTATTTTTAGGTTGGTTGTGGCTGTTTTAATAGCAGAAGAGGGAGACAGCCTTGTCATTACTACCAAATGCCACCAGCTTATCCTTAACTTTGGAAGGTGACATCATCATAATCAGCAAAAGATATACTCTTCTCATTTGGGAATCTGAGTGGCAAATTCAAGCAGACAAATTTAGGGAGAATACTGAAATGTGGATTTTACAATATAATTTGAACCTCAGGTCTAGTTCAGTGACGTCCAACAGAACCCTCTGAAATGATAATGTTGTATATTTGTCTTTCCACTATAGCCCACATGGGGCCATTGAGCATATGTGACTCATATGACTAAAGAACTATTTGATTTTAATTAATTTAAATTTAATAGCCACATGTGGCTAGTGGTCACCATATTGGACAGCATAAAATATGGTATTAACTGAGTGGATATGGAATGACCCAGTACACCAAACTTGCTCTTCCACCTTCTACAGATCTCATTGCCCACCAGAAAGGACAGATAGAGAAGCAGCCGCCATTTGAGATCTATTTATGCTTTGGGGAAGAATGGCCTGATGGGAAGCCCCTGGAAAGGAAACTCATCTTGGTTCAGGTGAGGAGATAAGGATGTGTCAACAACTCTTTGCCTTTTTACCAGTGCTTTAGCCCCTAAGACTAGGGTTGTGCTGAGCAAAGATCCATCAGCTTACGTGGGCTTTAATCCCATCAGATAGAGTAGCCGACTCAAGCTTTGTTTATTGCAAGAACCAAGTAGGTCCTATTAAAGCAGGGCCAAGCTGGAGAATACAAGGTCCTCAAAGTGGGTGACTGATTTAGTGAAGATCTTCTCTTTCATTCCCTCACTGACATCAGAATCTTGCTGGGAAGGATATAATCCTTTCCATCTCTTTTAGAAAAACCTTTTTTTTTTTAAATTTTTTAATGTTTATTTATTTTTGAGAGAGAAAGAGAGAAGAAGGGAGGGACAGAGATAGAGGGAGACACAGAATCTGAAGCAGGCTCCAGGCTCTGAGCTGTCAGCATAGAGCCTGACATGGGGCTTGGACTCACGAACCACGAGATCATGACCTAAGTCAAAGTCAGAGGCTCAACTGACTGAGCCACCCAGGTGCCCCTTAGAAAAACCTTCTGAGTTCCTTTTAAGAATGTAACTTTATTCTAATAAGTGGCAGCAAGACCACTTGGGTTTGGTCCCTGGATTTGTACAAAAAGGTGACAGAGGAAATGTGGGTAAAAGTCTTGCTAAATAAGCAGCTGTTTGCTTAGGCATGTAGTGTGATGATACATACAGGTTTCTTTTTTTTTTTTTTATCTTCTAGAGTGAATTTTGGCAGGATGGTTCAGAGGCGTTATCTAGACATTAGAGTTGGGACTTCTCCAGGGCCTCACTGGTCCTTCCTTCGATCTTGAGTCCCTCCTGCCATTTATCTATTTATTTAATTTTATTTATTTATTTTTGACGAGGGGGAGGGTGGGGGGGAGGGGCAGAGAGAGAGGAGGAGAGAGAGAATCCCAAGCAGGATTTGCACCATCAGTACAGAGCCCAATGTGGAGCTCGAACTCACAAACTGCAAGATCATGACCTGAGCCAAAATCAAGAGTTGGACGCTTAATTGATTGAGCCACCCAGGCGCCCCCTCCTGCTATTTAACAATTCCTTTTCTTCACCAGATAATTGTGTGCTCTGTGTCCTGAACAGGTCATTCCGGTGGTAGCTCGGATGATCTACGAGATGTTTTCTGGTGATTTTACACGGTCCTTTGACAGTGGCAGTGTCCGCCTGCAGATCTCAACTCCGGACATCAAAGATAACATCGTTGCTCAGCTGAAACAGCTGTACCGCATCCTCCAAACCCAGGAAAGCTGGCAGCCCATGCAGCCTACCCCCAGCATGCAACTACCCACTGCCCTGCCAGCCCAGTAATCATGAATGACATCTTTTTTTTTTTTTACAGTATTGTACATATGGATATTTTTTATTCAGATTTAACCAGCTCTTAAACCTCTCCTTTCTTACGATCTTACAATGGTCTCCAACTCTCCACATATGCTTGACTTTTAAAGTTGATTTAATTTATGGAAAAATCACCCTTCATATCCCCCCTTTCTTTTTTAAACCTCCCCATGTTAGTGTAATGTAGTAGGAGATTTGACCTGGGAGTTTGGACACCAGCCTTCTAGCTGCACCTCTGCTTCAGTGGTATGACCTTGAACTACCGAGTTATTTAACCTCTAGGCTTCAGATTCATTACTATAAAATGAAGGGGTGGAACAATGCCTGAAACAATGCCAGCTTTAAAACTCTGGCCTGATGACTTCATTCTACTTGTACAAGGCAAAAAAACTGCCTGGAACAGAACCCTTCTGCATTGTTCTAGCACTATTTTTTTTCCTTTTATTAAAGTTCCCTCAAGCACTGATTTGTCCAAGATTGATCACCGTTTGACCTGTTCTGCTAGTATAGTAAGCTTGGCTCCCTGACGGGGTAAGAGAGAGGGAGGGGAACTGGCTAGTTGCTTAGGAACCAAGCTTGATATCTAAATAGAAATATGTGCCAAAGTCTGAAAGTCACCTGGTCTGTGGAGTAAAGCCTCATAAACTGAGCTTCTAAAGGGAATCTGTCAACAGAAGGCCTAGGGATTATGCAGAATTGGTTGTCCGGTATCTACCTTGCCACCACTCAAATAACACTGTGGTGGGGGGGGGGGTGCAGGGGCGGGTGTAGATAAGAGTATATGACTCAGTGGTACTCTTCAGAAAAGATAGAGCTCTTTTTCCTTTTTTTCTTTGAGGAAGACCTGGGAGTGCGCTGGGCCATGTAGGACAAACTCGTGACTACAACAGGGACACTTCGTTCTTGTTTGGAAACTTTTACAATTTTACTACCCTTTGGATTTTTTGCTGTTGGAAAAATGGGGTATCCAGTTTTAAGGCCAAAGTGAAGGAGGACTAGGCTGTGCTCTTCTGCAAAAGGCTCACCTGGCCCAAACCTGCTTGTCTCCCTTCTTGTGGAGGTGGCTGGGCGTGAAGGACTCAGGTGAAGAATGGTGTAGAACACTGCAACTATGTCTGCCACAGACTGGTCTTATCTGTTAACTTTTGCTCCATCCCTGACCTCTCTGTCCTACCCCCCAACCTTTTTTTTTTTTTTTAAAGACAAGCATAATTGAAACTCTAAAACCTAAATGGAGAACAAGATGTTAATCTCTGGTTGCAGGCCCCTAATCCTCTTGAATACTGATGCCTATCCATGCCAGGCCATAATGAGAAAACCCCTGTCTAGTGTGCTGCACTTAAACCAGGCCATCCCCCATTTGCTACTGAAGTTGAGCTAGCTGAAAAGTCAGGCAGCTTCAAAAGCCTTAGGCTCAATTCAGTCACAGGTGGCAGTGGGACTTATTTAGAATGCTAAAGCTGTGGTTTTAGGGTCTCTAAGGGACCTAGTGGGATCTGCTGTTACTAAAGTATGACCAAGAGAAATCTGGGTAAATGTCAGGTGTTGATCTGTGAGCAGAAGTTGGGCTCCTAGAAACTAGAAAACATGCAAGGTATAGAACCTTTATATTTTTTGATCATTTTGTTGAGTGGGTGACGTGAAGGATTTGGTCTTTGTGTCTGGCTGCCTCTGTCTATACCTGCCCAGCTCAAAGTTAAAAAGAACCCACTGTAGGTAAATTGGGAGGGCAACTGCTAGATCTGGGTAGTGCTTTTCCCTTATTCTTGGAGAGGCTAATAGCCAGTCTGTCCATCTGGCTGGGGGTCCAGATAATATGAGCTGGCAGTGTTGAAAATTGTGTTTTGAAGGGCCAAGAAGGATCAAACTTCCAGTATGTGACTGTAATAAAAAATCCAAACATGTCAGAGGAATGGATGAGTGGTTCTATGTGGTCTTCATGAGACAGCCTGGTTTCTTCCATGTTTTCTATTGTTTTTACAATGCTGGGAGAGTGCAGTGCTGTCCACTGATCTCCCTCAGTTCTCCTTCTCTGGTCCCGATGGATCGATAGATACGAGGTGTATCTTTCTTGGGAGAGTCTTTATCTCCTTTAGTGGCGACACACTCTTGATGTGTTCTACTTCCTTGTGTCCACGTTGCTCAAGAGTGGAAAGGGAATTAGATGGTGTCACCAGCTCTTCTTTTTGTTCACTGTCCACCCCACCAAACCAGGTTAGCTCAAAGTTCAAAACCAAACAAAACACAACACTATAGGTAAATTGGGGGAGCAAGTGTTGGATCTGGGCTGTTCCTTCCCTATATAATTAGGTATCTGGTTTTATGTTCCCATATCATCCTATACTTCCTTTTGCAGAATAATCTGTTCCCTGGTAATTGCTCAGCATTTGTGTCCTGCTCGATTACAAAATTGCTGAAAGTAGGGACTGTTTGTCTTGGACTTTGTTGCCAGTGCCTGGTACATAGTATGTTCTCAAATATAACATCCTTGAACAACACAAGTTTGAACTGCATAGGCCCATTTATACTCAGATTGTTTTTTGATATAGTAGAGTACTATAAACGTATTTTCTCATATATTTTTTTAGCATTTTTTCCTCTAGCTTTATTGTAAGAATACAGTATATAATACATGTTGCTATAATAAAAATATGTGCTAATTGCTTATATTATCAGAAAGCCTTCTGGTCAATAGTAGGCTATTCGTAAAGTTTTGGGGGAGTCAAAAGTTATACACAGAGTATCTCCTGTGTACAGCACCCCCCAAAACCTGGGTTGTTCAAGGGTCAACTGTATTTGTTGTTAGAATAAATGAATGAACTAAGGAAGCCTTGCATCTTACAGATTTATTGCTAAACCACCATGGAAAATAAAATCCTCAAATTAGTTCCTAGTCTCTGTTTCTGACTCCTTCTGAGCTAAGGACCAGTGTTAGCCTGGGGGTTCCTACATGCTGGCAGGCCTCATCCTTACTCCATAGTTGCCTCTCTTCACCGGCTGAAGACGCCGCCACGGTAGAGCCAGGAGTGCAACGTCCGGTGTAGGAGCCCACAGTTCCCTCTGCATCTGTCCCGCCCATGGAGCATGGAGTCTGGGCCATTTCCTCAGATGAGCTTTCTCAAGAAATTCTTAGCTGGCAGGAGCGTTAAACCTTCAGCGAAATCACACTTTCTTCTTGTTGAGCAGATTGAAAAGCCTCTGCATGTCTGCTCTTATGTGAAGTCAGGAAATTGAATTCCTCTAACTTGAGCTCCGGGAAGGTGGGTTTTTTGTCTATTTTGTACGTTGTAAGAGCGCCAGCGCCTAGAATCGTGCCTGGCACACCTTTGTTCAGAGTGAATAATGCTCATGCCCTTCACACCCTGCTTAGAGATGACAAATCTTGGGCAGGACAGCACTTGTGCAGCCACTTCTAGGAATTCAGAGTCTCAAATTTAGCATTTAGGGAGATCAAAGTAAACCAACTTTGCAGCGCCACGCACAGGTGAGGTGTAAAACATGTCGCTTGCCACGGGATAGGCTTCGTTTGGAGGGGGGGAGCGCATTTCTCCAGACACAAATCAAAGGGTGTTTTTGCGTTGCGTGCCTTCCTAAGGCTTCTCAGCCTGAAGAACACACAGGCTGGGCACGACGCGAAGCCACGTGAGGGCAACGACAGGCTGCTAGTTTCACCAGGTCCCGCCTTCCTTCGTGCACTTCCGCCCCTCCCCGTTCCTACTCAGAGAGGCGGGCCGGCTTCTGTCTGGCCGGAAAGGGCCTGGCCTTAGGAGCCCAAACTTCCGGCACAGACTTGCCAGAGGTTCTAACGCGAGGCGCGCGAGGAGAATGGATGACGTCACGGAAAGCGGTGGGAGGGCTTGTGTTGGGCGAGAGCGGTAGGCCCGTTTCGCCGACTCGGAACCCAGAGGGTGAAGGGGTTTTCCAGTATTGCGGCGGAGCCCACGGTCCTCGCCGTGTCCTCGGCAGCTCGCACGAAACTGGAAGGCATTTCTGAGCCTGCGAACCTGCAGCGGAAGTGGAAGCAGAACGTACGTGTGTGAAAGAGACCTGCCTCATTTAACAAATCACTATAGTGTGCTCAGGACAGGGTGGGGGGTTTGGAGTTAGCCCATCTTCCGAGGGTCCGTCGACATCGGCCAGAAGGGAAAGGCGGGGACCACAAAAGTAAAACACAGCCCTCCTGCAGTTCTAACAGGTTTTATTTATTTACTTTTACGTCTCAGGGTGCAGTGGTTGTAAGTCCACATTCTTGTGTGTATTTAATCAGACCGCTGTTCCTAGTTATTGGCGGGAAGATCAGAGGAAGCTGGCAATGGAAACCTAGAATTTTGGAACCTAGAATTTTACCTCAGAAGGGCAATTTTAGATGAAATGCCCGGAATTTTGCCAAAGACAGCCCTGCCACTTCTCTGCCCCAAACTCCTTAAGGTTTGAATCCAAGAAAGTAGTTTACAACAGGTAAAATTTAGAAGAAATCAGAGAGAATATAAATCTAGCCATGAGGCCTGAAAGACACATGAAATTTGGGACTAAGGGAGACTAAGGCAGCCTTAGAAATGAGTTACGATTGATGATCTCATCTTGTCTGTATTAGCATTTCAAAGCAGAGGGAGGGACAAAAAGATCTTTGGAAGATGCTGTAAAATTTAGGGGAAGGCTGTTGTCAGGTTTCCTGATGTGTCACTGGCTGGTGTTAACAGTCCCTGCTACTGCTTTGTTTTTAGGCCCTTCCTCAAGTGACTGGAGCTTACAGATGCGGTCCAGGGCAGGGAACTGTGGCTAGGTAAGGAGGCCATGCTTGATGTTGCTTCCAGATCCCATGTCAACACCAAGTCCTCAGATGCTGGTGGCAGCTGCTCAGCAGACCCTGGGCATGGGAAAGAGACGGGGCCCACCCCGAGCCGTCTGCCTTCACCTAGCTGGAGAGGTGCTGGCTGTGGCCCGGGGACTGAAGCCAGCCCTGCTCTATGATTGCAGTTGTGCAGGGACATCAGAGCTCCAGAGCTATCTGGAGGAGTTGCAGGGCTTGGGCTTCCTGACCCAGGGACTTCACATCCTTGAGATTGGAGAAAACAGCCTGATTGTCAGTCCTGAGCATGTATGTCAGCGCTTGGAGCAGGTACTGCTTGGTACCATAGCCTTTGTGGATGTTTCCAGCTCCCAACCTCACCCTTCTATTTGCTCCCTGGACCAACTTCAGGATTTGAAGGCCATAATGGTTGAGATCATCACACATTTGCAAGGGCTGCAGAGGGACTTATCCCTGGAAGTCTCCTGCAGCAGACTTCGTTCTTCAGACTGGAATCTCTGTACTGTGTTTGGGATCCTCCTGGGCTATCCTGTTCCATATACCTTTCATCTGAACCAGGGAGATGGCAACTGCTTAGCCCTGACCCCGCTACGGGTTTTCACTGCCCGGATCTCATGGCTGCTCGGTCAGTTCCCAGTCTTGCTCTATTCCTTTAGTGTCCCCGAGAGCTTGTTCCCAGCCCTGAGGGAGATTATAAACACTTGGGAGAAGGACCTTAGAACTCGATGTAGGAGGCAGAATGACTTTGCTGACTTGAGCATCTCCTCCGAGATAGTCACGTTGCCAGCTGTGGCTCTCTGACTTCAGCTCTTCTCTCATGTAGAAGATGCTCAGTAGATGATCAGCTCCGGGTTAGGGATGGCATCTCAATGACCAATTCTGAGCATCTTGAGAAAATTAGGGAAAAATTCTGCAAACAGTTGTCCTCATCTCAGTGGGCATGGGAACAGGTGGTAGTGGTGTTGGTTGTACATAGTTGCCATTTCTATAGTAGGGAGTCCTCGTGACTTAACTGAGATGTCTGTTCATTTTTCACTGGATAGGGGATAGAAGAAAGATTGTGGAGACAGGCGGTGGAAGTCAAGTAGTCTGTTCTTGTGTGGTGGTTGTAAATATACCTGCCCCAGTGGGCAGTGTCTGCCAGAAAGTAGAGGACTAGGTAAGTTTTACTGCATGTTTATATACCACCAACTGAATCGGACTAGGGAGAGTAGACCAGGATTCACTAATGTCTTATGATTGTGTTGTGATGTGTCTGTCATTCAGGGGTAAACTAAGAGTTCAGAGGAACAGAAACTTGTTAGGTGAAGTTTATTTTACAGTAGGTTAAAAAAAATAATAAAGTCAGAAATCTCTGTGGGAAAACCCACACTCTAAAGTATGTAAACATTCTGAGTTTTTTGAGTTTCTTGCTTCAGATTTTCACCCAGGCAGCTGTCCGAAGTGATTCAGATCATCAGGCTCTCCTTGTTGGCCAGGAACACTGCCAGTGCTATGGCAATCATTACCATCAGCATCGAGAGCCATTGGCCACATTGCCTCTGTGAGGAGGGAAGGGGCGAAAGAGAAAGAGGCCATGGGTTGTTTGGAGAAGATACAGACAAAAATAATCTTCCTTCTTCCCATTCCAGCCCCGTGGGAAACCTTGGGTCAGTAGAGGAGAAAAAGCTTTTTATATCATTATTTCTCTCACTTGCTCACTTCCTTTGGGATAAAGACCACTTTAAGGCTGGTTACTTGTCCCTAAGCCCAGGATCACTGGCCTAGGGAACCATACCCAGCAAGGGCCAGATAACTTAAATACTGGTTAGAGTAATCAAGGATGGAAAATAACTTAGCAACACTATATTATTCTCTATTCATATTCCGTAGTACTTTTGCTCTCCTTACTCTTTTTTTTTTTTCTTCTCTCCTTACTCTTGCCACAAGCTCATAATAGGCTAAAAGAACACCATTTCATACTTTAGCTAATAGTAGGCCTCTTCCTTTAGGCTCAAGAGTTCCATGAAAATTAGGCTTGGTTGCATGAGCAAGTGTTTCCCGACAGTTGTTATACTCAAGTATATAAACCAAGCTGAATGGAATGGGCTGGCCCAGCGTTGGCGCGGGTTGATGAATGATCTGCAAGATTTGACTGAAGGAGGACCTGTCCCACCATCATCCAGGGCGATATGGGAGGATAGACCCTCTTACTCTGGGAAGCGGCCGTGGGCTCTGGTTCAGCTCTTCTCGACAGTGCTGCAGCTTACGCAGGCAGGAGAGATACTCGTCGCTGAGGTTGTCTAACTCCAGATGCAGTTCTCTGCACTGGGGGGAGAATACCACCAACATCATCACTACCAGTTCCTTCTGGGATAGAGCTCAGGTCGGGGAGAGGGCCCTATGTGAGTTACCCCTTCATTCATTTGGAATTTTTACCACCATCCTCCCTTCCCAGCCTTTACTCAGAGATTTCAGTTTATCTTCGGGCTGCCTTACTTAGTTTGCCTGGAATGTGTTCATTTAAATGATTGATTATAATGCATATGATAATACTATATATTATACATGTTAGTGCTTTCATGTGATAGTGTATGTGCAAGTGCTTTGTAAATGCGGACACCAAAAAATGAAGTTCTTATAGCACAAAAGACCTGGGAATGATCTTAGTACTGGTGAAGAAGCACCTTCAACAGGACCTAGTTGAGTTGCATGTGAATACTCTGGGAATATGTAGGTTTCTAAGTATGTAGATGGAAAGAGTTTGTTACTTAAAAGACACTATATAAAGTTTTAAGATAACTCTATGTAGGACAAAGTTTGAGGAGTTAATATGTTTATTAAGTGTGTTTTAGTTTAGGCTGACATTATAAAAGGTAACTATTTAACAAAACCTTGCATAATGGTTGGTATAAATGAAGAAGGAAAAAGATGGACAAGTTAGCCTGAAAGCAAAGTGAGTACCTGCTGGCATCCAATCACAATTTAAACTTTGAAATCTCTGCTTCCTGGCTGCCTCCCAGCAGTTTTCCCTACCATTGTGGTATGAGCCCCTCACTACCTTGAGGTCACGTTCTCACCTCCTTTTCCTTGGCCTGGAGCTGCAAAGTCTTCTTTTGCAGCTGGTCTCTGAAATCCCGTTCTTTCTCCTTCCCTGTACCCTCAGGTTCCACTTCCTTATGGGAGGGCTTTGGACTCCACACAGGCAAAGCCTGATCTAAAAAAGCAGCCAGATTCTCAGTGATAGTGCGGTCCACGCCTCTGAGGAAGGGCCCTATCACTGAGAGAAGTCTGGAGTGAGGGGAAGGGAGGGGAGAGAACAAGAGAGGTCCTGTCCCTGACTAGACTGCATGGAGTAGAATTTTCTGACTTTCTCCCATTGGGACCCTGCTCAGCCTTGACACAGCTGGAATTTGAGCCGCGTGAGGGCAAGGTTGACCTCTTACTTTTCTTTGTATCCCCAGTCCCGTTTAATGGCAGATATTTCTAAGAGAATACTTACTAGTCCAATTTCTTTTGTTGTACTTCTGGTAGGTTTGCTGGATGCTTCAATAGAACTAACCCCTTTCCCCTTCTGTCCTTATTTCACAGTCAATGAGAATGGCTGTCATATCATAGAATTCACCTTCATGTGGTTAAAAGTGGTTTCTGAGCCACGCAGAAGTCTTAGTGTTGGTGAAGAGGGCACTGAACTAGGAGTCAGAAATTCTGGATTGTTGTCTTAGCTGCGTCCTTAATTTTTATGACCATAGATTTTCATTTTCTTGCTTGTGCTATGTGGGTATAATACTTTCTGCCTTATATTTTATGTGGTGATTGTGATGAGAAAACAAAAGACCACTTGGAGTGCATACATGAGGAACTTTTGCCCCCCACCCTCAGATACATGATGCATTCTTCTCAGGGAGTTAAGGCAGCAGACTCTTGAGGGCTAAGAGTGAGGTGACTGTTGCATGCAGCATGGTGTGGAGGTGTGGACTTGGGATGTGATTTGGAAAGTCAAATGTAAAAATTGACATTAAATCCTGAGTTCAAAATCAGTTTATTGAAATGTTCAACACACACATGTTTTCAGAGAGAGTAGAAATTCTTTTCACAGTTTATGTACCTCTCAGGATAGGAGGCTAACTAGTTAAAGTGTTCTCAAAGCCAATGATCAGTCCTTAAAAAGCTCTGCTAGATCCCTGACCTCACAGACTCCTAGAACTGCATGGGACTCCAAGAGGTCATGTAGTCCATTCCTCTGCCTCTAGGCAGGCAAGGAAAGACCAGTATCTTAGAATTTGTGGAAGTAAATTTGCTGACCTTTCTTTGTTAAGAGTTTCTCCTGTTCTTGAAGCTGTAAGGATTGATTCTGAAGCAGACCTGTGGGAAGACACAAGGAACTTGTCTGTATATTGACTGTAAACAATGTTTTCAGAACTTTGCTACAAACCTTAATTATTCAAGATGTTCCTATCTGTTACTGGCTGAATTGTGCTCCCCCAAATTCATAGGGGGAGAGTCCTGACTCCTAGTACCTCAGAATGTGACCTTATTTGGAGACAGGGTCTTTACAGAGATAATCAAGAATTTTAGGACATCAGAGTGGGCCCTAATGTCTTATGACTGGTGTCCTTGTAAGAAGGGGACATTTCAACAGACATCCATAGATAGAAGACATATGAAGAAACATAGGGTGAAGAAGGCCATCTACAAGCCAGGGAAAGTGGCCTGGAACAGATCTATCCTCAAAGCCCTCAGAAGGAACCAGCCCTGGCAACACCTTGACCTTGGACCTCTAGCCTCCAGAACAAAATAAATTTCTGTTTTTTAAGTCACACAGTGTGTGGTATTTTGTTGTGAATACACTGTCCTTATGTCTCTTCCTTCAATGTCTTTACCTTTAAGTCTCTGCTTCAATGTTACCTTAGAAGACTTTCCCAGATGACCCTGTATGAAATAGCAACTGTTTTCCCTTTAAGCTGCTTTATTTTTCTCCCTAGCAGTTATTGCTGCCTGACACATACTTACTTGTTCGTAGAAGCTCCATACTTTATTATAGAGCTTAGAGTGTAAGCTTCATTAGGGAAGGAGCTGTGTCAGTTCTCTTCAGCACTGTGTCCTCAGTGTGTATGTCTAAAGTGCCTGGTGCTTAGTAGGGACTCAGTAGATATGTACTGAATAAATAAAGGCATGGTGTTGAAGTGATTCCTGGTCCATTCCGCTCCTGCCCTGTAGGTATTCGGCATCTACTGCTGGTTGCCTTTCTCTGTTAATACTAATTACACAAAACATCTCTGTTGGGGTAGCAGAGGTTAAGGCGGTGGGCAGCCAGCAGAGCTATTAACTGAATCAGGTTCTCTAGCTTTTCAGCAATGGCCTCCTTTTCTTCTGAAAAGTCCTTTTTCCTCTTTGGCCCCAACAGGTAGTTTTGAAATGGACTGAGGCATATGTAGTGTGAGCTGATTTTCTGAACCATTCCTAGTGACAGAAGTCTATATGACATACTCATGTACATAATAAGTTACAATATATCAAATAACTGGCTTAGAAAACCCATTTTTTAAAATCAAGATTGAGGGAAATGGCAATTCTGGGGGAAATTCAGGTGGTTGTCATTGGCATGGGAGGAGAAAAGTAGAGAAGAAAAGACCAGGCTAATACTGACTTGCGAAGAGCTATGTAAATGACCTCTCACTTCCCAAGAAGGTCTGAAAATGCACAAAGGTAAAGGACATGTCCAAGACCGGGCCCCAAAGCCCTTTGTGCGGCAGGAGCCCCAGGAGCACCAAAGAGCCAGCTGTGCTGCTTGAGGATCTGGAAAGGGAACTTACTCTGCAGCTGCTGTACTTTGGCCACCAGGGCGAGTTTCTCCTCCTCTGACCTCTTCAGTTGATCTGGAAATGAAATAATGTAAACCGAAATAGACGAAACTAAGACTTCATGAACCTGACACCCGAGAATGGGACCTAGTAGGCCTCTGATGTGTGTCAAGTGGAAATTGCTCTTTCTTCTACTTGTCCTAGTTCTGAGACGGGTAAACCAGATCCCAAGTGCCTTGGATTTCATCAGCATCGACAACGTCAGGTTGAATTAAGAGTTGTATTTGCACACGATTTGGTCCTCTCAGCTGACACAGAGGCTGTGATGGGAAACCTTCACGGCGCCTTGTGTTTCAACTGACCTTTCCCTTCTGAATTAGAAATGCAGCCTTGGCACGTGTGACTGAAGTAGGAGTGCTGCAACGTGGCTCGGGGGATGGGCCGGAAAAGCAGGCTGATAACTACAAGATCCGCTAGTGCAGTGTGATTCATTTTCAGTCTTGGATGATTAAAACAGCCTTGCCTGTCCCTCCGGGTCAAATGAAATCACAAAGCCAACCAAAGACTGAAGCCGCCTTCTCTACCCAGCTTCCTTTCTTGGGCTCACTTGGGCTCACTGAGGCAGAGGCCTCTGGGGAGAAGGGTACCTTGTAGGTGCTGCGTATCCGAGCTGTACAGGTCTCTGTCCCCCTGCAGGTGTTCAATCTTGGCCTGCAGTTCCTGGTGCTCATTCTCCAGAAGTCTCAGAGCCTGGTTCATCTGTAAGTCTCTACTGTCTGCTCCCTGTGAGGAGGAGGAGGGGCCGACACAGAAGCCGGTCAGTGCTGGGGTGGAGGATGGGAACAGATTCCATGGAAGAGGAAAACTAGAATTTTAGAGATAGGAGTGTTAGGAAAATGGGAAAATTGGGATTTTTAGTTCTTCCTTTGCTATGTTCCTCACATTTAAACGATGCATTAGACTTTACTATTCAAAGGGACTCATTTGAGTAATACCCAAATTGAAGAACACCCATCACTTTTCTAGGTGTCTTCACATTGTCTTTTCTTCTCATTCTAACACTGTCAACTTTTTTTTTTCTGTGGTAGGGTCATTTTTCTCAAAGAATTAAGGTGAAAAAGAAAAAGACCTTCATGGGGAGCCTGGGTGGCTCAGTTGGTTAAGCGTCCAACTTTGGCTCTGGTCATGATCTCACGGTTCACGAGTTTGAGCCCTGTGTCAGACTCTGCTGACAGTGCGGAGCCTGGAGCCTGCTTCAGACTCTAGATCTCCCCCTCTCTCTGCCCCTTCCCTGCTCGTGCTCTCTCTCTCTCTCTCTCAAAAATAAGTAAACATTAAAAAAAAAAAACAACCTTTAAAAAAGAAAAAGATCTTCATCAGAGTTGCCTTGTAGGTGACAGGAGGAAGAAACAACAAATGTGGAGATGTGGCTGTAGTGCACTGACCAGCTGGGTTCACACCTTCAGTAAGACTAACGTGACCTGTCTTAATTAGTTTGGCTACTCAGGTTTCTGCTTCAGTAAAATTATAAAGGCAAATTATAAAAAAATTATTTTAAGTTTATTTATTTATTTTGAGAGAGAGCACAAGCAGGGGAGGGGCAGAGAGAGGAAGAGACAGAATCCCAAGCAGGCTCTGCACCATCAGTGCAGAGCCTGATGCAGGGCTCGAACTCACCAACTGTGAGATCATGACCTGGGCAGAGATCAAGAGTCGGCTTAACCGACTGCACCACCCAGGTACCCCTATAAAGGTAAATTTTTGATGTGGGTCTTCAAAATTTCATACCAAGTAAGTAAAATCTACAAAAACAAAAAACAAAAAACAAAAAAAAAACGCTAATATTTACGGAGGCTGGTATATGCCAGGCATGGCACTAAGTGCTTTGTATGGATTACCTGACTCGATCCTCCCAAAATCCCAACAAGCAATGGAGGTACCATTATAAGCCTCCTTTTGGAGGTGAGGAAGCTGAGGCTCAGGAGATTAGTTAAAAGTTTACAAGGTAACACAGGCTGGAAATGATGGAACCCTTGAGAATGCCAAGGGTCTCCTGTAATTACTTAAAAATTACATTGGCAGGATGTTAGTTAATACTCAACCTGTAAGTAAGTTAGTGACCTTTGTTCCGAACTGGATGCTGTGCTGGGATGGGGTGCAGAGAGTGGGCTGACAGTAGGCTGATGAATATTCCAGTCCAGCCCTTTGCATTTGGTTGGTGTCATTCAGTGAACACTTGGTTCATTTGCATCAGCAGTGCAGACATCCTTGCTGAGCTCACAATTAGATTTCAGGGCCCCAGCAGTGAGTCAGGTCCAAAGTGGCCAATGAGTGAGGAACTGAAAGCCAGATGCTCTCAGCTGCCTTTGGAACCCCCTGTCTCACTAGCAGCTTCTCTCCTCACTGCTGTCACTGCCCCCATAAACCCTGCCTTTTCTCCCCGCGTCCCAACCCCAGGGCCTGCTACCTGCAGTTTGGACTGAAGCACATGGAGTTGGCTCTCCAGCTCTCTGTGCTGGGTCCCCAGGCTCTTCCAGTCTTCCTTCAGAGCTTCATACTGGCTCCTCCACTCTTCACACTTCTGCTCAGCCAGAGCCAGGGACCGCTGGCGGGTGGGGGGTCAGACAAGAGGAGCAAGGGGAGGGTGCCTTGGGGGTTCCAGGGAGTTCTGCAGGTGTCTCCCAGGCTGCCCAGAGGCTCCCCCCTTCCCCCCCACCCCGGGGCCCCAGCCTCAAGATTACACAGCACGCCCACACCTGCGCGCTCTGCAGTTGCTGCTCTGCGCTCATTTTCTCCTCCAGCACTTTCTGCAGCGACTCCTTGGCTTTCTGCTCGTAGCTGTTTTTCTGGTCTTCCATCTCCAATAACACCTTTTTCATTCCCCAGGGGGAGTATTTCTGTAAATTTGATGCAATTCAACAAAACATATTGAGCTTCTGTGTGCTGAACCCTGAGATGGGATAGAGAAATGAAAAGAATTGGGTCCTTGCCCCCAGAGCAGAGATACCAGTAATCTGATGGACCTTCTTCCAGGCTGGAGGGGAACAGGGAGAGGGTCCCAGGTGATGAGGGAGGTAAGCAGGGATAACAAACAGTGTCCTGGCATGGTGAGCATCCCCTCGGCCTTCCAGGGGTGTTTCAAATTCAACATTTCCAAAGCAAAATCATCTTTCTCAACCTCCTTTCTCCTGGGTTCCTTATCTCAGTGACCAACATCATCACCTGCTCAGTCTCCCAGGCCTGAGACCTGGGAGTCATCCTTGATTTCTCTCACTTTCTCCCAGTAATCAGTTGTTCCTTGAGCTTTGTCAAATCAAACTCTTTAACAGCTCATATCTGTCTCTGTCTCTTCTCTGTACTTCCTGTCACCTCCTTAGTTGCGACTCTATGGGTCAATGCAGTATTTTCTCCATCTTCAACCTTGTAGCTGATCGTGTCACTCCCTGTTTAAATCTCTCAGTGACTAAGGATCAGGTCCATATTCCTTGGCATGGCTCCCACATGTAGCTCAGACTTTGATTCTATGCTGCTTCTACCCAAGCTGAATTGCTTGCAGATCCCCTAACCACTGTGCTTTTGGGCCTCTGCCTTTGTCCATATAGCTTATGCCTAGAGGTCCTTACCTACCCTTTTCACCTGGTTAACCTCTACTCATGCTCAAGGTTCAGTTCAAGAATCATGTAAGGTCTGATAAATCTTGACCAATCACCCCTATCCCCCAACTCATTATGAGTTAGGTAGCTTTTCTTTGGGTTCACGTAGTATCCCTTGTATGTCTCTATCTTCCCACACTATTGATTCATTTTTCTCCCTCATGGGATTGTAAACACCTTCAGGTTAGAGAGCAAGCTTTTTTTTTTTTAATGCTTCTTTATTATTATAATTTTAAGTGTTTAAATTATTTTTGAGAGAGAGAAAGAGAGAGAGAGCGAGCAAGAGCACAAGTGGGGGTGGGGCAGAGAGAGAGGGAGACTCAGAATTTGAAGTAGGCTCCAGGCTCTGAGCTGTTAGCACAGCTCGAGCTCATGAAACGTGAGATCATGACCTGAGCTGAAGTGGGATGCTTAACCTACTGAGCCACCCAGGCGCCCCACCCCCCCTTTTCAAATGTTTGTAGTTTCAGAGATCTGAACAATCCCCAGCACTCTCAATGTTTTTAAATTAATACATTTTCATTAAAAAAAAAATTAGCTTCAGGATTTAAGAAAAGAGCAACTTTACAAATTCACTTAGGGTCTTACCCTCCCCATCCCTTTCATCTTTTTGCCCTGTGATTCTGGGGAAGGCAGGAAGCTTTTACTGTCAATTCTGGGTTACCCCACTGTGTAAACAGCAGTCCAGATCATGCAAATTTAGGGATCCATACGAAGTCATTTCCATTTAGTTTTGGGACCATCTGAAAATTTGGATTTAAATGTGAGTGGGTCTTATGTTCTTGGAATTTCCATTAGAAGCCAGATCCAGGAGCCACTGGCTGAAGTCATACATGGGTATGTCCCAGTTACTGGACTTAACCATGCTGGCCAGCTTTACCCGCTCCCCCACCCCTCACCCCTGCTGAAAATCAAGAGACTGGCATTCTGGATTATATGTTGGTATTTTATGAGCTGGGTTGACATTATTTAGTTCATAAGAGTCTGACAAAACAGGCCATACTGAAAAAATAAAAGTTGTGGGTCAGCAAACCTGGTTATAAACTCTGTTCCCCCACAAGACCCCAACTGTCCATCGCATCTCCCCATCTCCACATGCTTCACCTCATTCTCTTATCTGACCCCTCACCACTTGTCATTTCTATCTCTTGTAATCCCCGATCAGGTCAATGCAGAGTTTAGTGAAGATGGGTAACAATGCCATTGAAAAGCCAAGAGTCATAGCCTTTTACTTTCTCCCAGGGATTGCTACTAGACAAAAGTTGCCCGTGGAATGGAAACCATTTTGTAAGGCTTTATTATAATATCCAACACTTCTGTTCAAAGATTGGGACCTGTGAAGGTCTATCTGGGTGGTGTGAATCTTTACCTCTCCTTACAGTCCCAGGTATTCCTAAGGTTTCCCTGGAGCTGGCAAAGTACTTGATTTGGGGGTTCCTTCTCAGGGTACAAAGGGAAGGACACTAGGAAAAAGGGAGAAGAGGGTGGATTGGGGACCAAAATGAAAATGGCAAAGCCAGAACTGGGTGAGTAGGAATGGGTACATTCATCTTTGTTGGGTGTCCTTTCTAGAGCATAGGATTGAGGTTCAAGCATTCTCCTTTAATTCTAGATTCCTGGGCTGGAAGTGTCCTCCAGAATGCTTACCTGGGTACAGGTGTACAGCTGGTTTTCTAAAGATCTCAGTTTGCACTTCAATTTGTCTTCATTAAGCTGGCCCTGGAGCAAATGGGATGACTTAATTAGTCTGGGCCAAAATATAGCATGCAAAGAGTTTTCTTCTGTTTTCCCAGCTTACTGCCTAGAACATGGTCTGTGCTCAAGCAATGTTTGTGGAACTGAACTCTTTCAGGAGGTAGGGAGGAGGAAGGATGTCAAAGGATGTTTAGGTAGAAGAGGATCTTTTCTTCTGTCTCTGGAATAGGAGAAGGAGGAATCGGACTGGCCCCAAGTCTTCTCTGTATCTTGAGGTCCTCTATCCAATGGCTCAAGGTATAATAGTTCACTTGAAGGAAATCTTCTAAGCTCTTCTTTTCTTTCCTCATTACCTCGCTCTCCTGTCTGTCTAGGCACTTCTGTATTCCTCACCCCCTCAGTTGTGTACAGGATCTTTACTTCTAAAGTATAGGCCAGTAAGACCAAAAGGGTCTCCACATTCCCTTCCTTACCTCCATCCTGGGCTGAATTGTGTCCCCCTTTGCTCTCCCCACCCCCAGATTTATACATTAACATCCTAACTCCCAGCGCCTCAGAATGTGACTGTATTTGGAGATAGGATCTTTAAAGAGATAATGAATTTAAAATGAGGTTGTTAGGGTGGGCCCTAATCCACTATGACTGGTATCCTCATAAGAAGAGAACAGAGCACTATGTGAAGAAGACACAGGAGAAGACCGTCATCTGCAAGCCAAGGATAGAGGCCTCAGGAGAAACCAACCCTGTCAATACCTTGATTTTAGACTTCTAGCTTCCAGAATTGTGAGAAAATAAATTTCTTTTGGTTAAGCCATACAGACTGTGGTATTTTGTTATAGCAGCCCTAACAAACTAATGCCTCCCCTCCTTGCCTCCTTCCTTCCCCTAACACACACACACACACACACACACACACACACACACACACACACTGGACTCAAGATGAGAAATTCTTTAAGAAAGCAGGACATGGAGGAGAGAGATCAAGTGAGGCAGGGTATGTGTATGTGGGGGGTGGTGGTGGTGATTAAAGGGCTTCCCAGAAAGTCACACATAAGTAGGGTCAGTTGCATGACATTTTGGACATTCCAAGAGGGATGCTAATCTCAAGGATGGGAGTGGGGAAAGGCAGGCAGGAAGAGCCTTATCTGTTTCTCAATTTTTCCGTATTTTAGCTGAGTAGCTAACAACCTCCTTGCTGCTTTGTTCTTTCCCCCACCTGTAGTTGTCTCTTTTTACCACGGCGGGGTTTTGTTCTTCCAGGCCTGAGTCTGACCTAAGTTTGTAAGAGGATCGGGAGAGAGGAGGGTGTGGGTCTCTAGCAATAACCAGTTTTCATATCCTTTTTCTGGCTTTTTTTCCCAGTAGGCTTTGCTGGACACTTGGGAGGTCTAGAAATTACATTTCTCTTCTGGCCTGAGATGCCATGGCCCTTCTCAGGTGGCTTGGGTGTTTGGAACCCTCATAACATTTCCCGTCTGTAATGGCCTGGGTGCAGAGGAGGGGACTCTGTTTTGAGGTCTGTCCCCTTCTGAGTTTCAGGGCACCTGGGGAGGGCGCAGGAAGTGGTATCTCACAGCTCCTGTTTTGATCTTGTTTGGCTGATTCTTCTGACCCTGGGAGCCAGGGGGCGCCCCCACCCTTTCTGCTTCCTGTATTACTCAGCTGGGCCTTGCAAAAGCAAAACGCTTTGCCAAAAATAATTTTTCAAAGTGTCTCCTGCTATTAATGTTTTTCATAATGTCTCGTGTGAGAGCTGAGAGTCTAGGATTTGGCATCTACAGAAACCACAGGGCTTTGGGACAGATAAAAGAGATGGACAAAGACTTCCATTGTTCTGGGCTTTGGAGTAACTGGTAAAAGGGCTGCATTCCCCTGAGTGTCCTGTTCATTGTCAGTCCACAGGTCCTGAAATCAACTCCTTCTGCACTCCCATTTCCTGGTTCAGATCTCTGCATTTTCCTGTGCCTAAACTCTTGCCACGGCAGAATGTAATCAGGCCCACTGAGTTTAAGGTTTATCTTGCTGTAGTTTGGGAAGAAAACGAACAAGCCCAAAACATTACATCCTTACATTTCCCCCCATATACTCCCATTTTTGGGTAGCTCCTCTCTCCTTCCTTACGGTGGTTTTAATTCAATGTTTTGCCTCTTCCAACTGTTTTTGTATTTTAGCCGTACCCCAGATTACTTTTCCATTCACGATGCAATAAAAGACAATTCAGGATAGCCCCTTCAGTGGGGATGAAGGGCCACCCAAGTCTGGGGATTGAAAAAAATCTCTCGTCCACAGCTCCACCTTCCCAGACTCCCTGAGGCAGGGAAGAAAGTTGTAGCCAAGTTGTTGCAAATGGGGCATGTAGTTTCCTGGTCTGAGCCCCAGCTACCCCGACTGAAACCCAGTGGTACAGTATGTGGGAAGAAGCACCCTTTACAGGCCTACTGTGGACCTTTTTTTGGCAGTCGTCCCCCCTGCCAGGAGCCCAGGGCTCAGAGAGCACGGGACCCCCAAGTGGAAAAGGGAACAAGGTGGAGGCCGTACACACCTGGTGCTGGTCCGAGGGCTTCAGCTCCTGCTTCTGCTTGGCTTTCCCCGGCCTCTGATCTGTTCTCCAGAAACACTACCGCCACACCGCAGAAGCGCCAACCCACAGCTCATCTGTGCTCTAGCAGAGGTTGCTTAGGGCTTGCAGCCAATCCCCCGTTGTGCTGTCATCTCAAGATCTCGTTTCCACTTTGCAGAACTTAGAACCCAACTGTGCCCCACTCTTGTTTTGGTATTGCCCAATACTGAGAGCCTGCTTTCTTGACTGCCCGAACCATCTCCCCTCTGAAGGTTGGACCTAGCTCAGGAGTATCAGCAGTGCCCCAGGCCCCACCACATCCAGTAGGCCCAGACTTAGCTTGGAGGTAGAGGCAATGGAGGGAGCTCCTTCTTGGGGTTCTCGCAGGGTTTGCCGTGGGCTGCCCTGCATGTGAAACTGGGAGAGTCAAATCATGGAGGCCAAATGGAAAAAATAAAAGGTCTGAACTGGGTTGAATGTCAAAATCCCCGTTTGGGTCACATTCTTCCAGTTGGTTTTCCCAAATACCACAGTCTGGGGCTGCTCTTTCATCCAGGCTGAGGTCTCCATGGCAGGGGTAGAGGGCTGGATGATTTTGTTTTGAGGGAAGCAAGAGCCCTTAACTGACAAATCTGACTATTTTTGTTAAAAACAGGAAGCTGGGGTGCCGGTGGGGAGGAGGGAGAAAAGAAGCGTGGGTATGCAGAGGGGTGGGAAGAAGGGAGGGAGAAAACCACAACCAAAGGAGCTTCTGCTCGCCTGCCCTGCCCAGCGTGGAGTGAAACTGCCCGCAGAGGTGCCCTGAGAAGTGTGTCCTGTCCTCACTGAGCTCCAATGACTCAGGATCTGACTGCACCTCAATGCCTAGGACGTCACCAGAGATTTCGCCGCTTCCACACCCACCTGGAGCCCAGGTCCTCACTGTTGTCAGAGACCATTTCAAAGCACAGATCGGATCATTCATTCTCAGCTCAGTTCCGCAACTATTTCAGCCTGTGTGCTGCCGAAGAGAGCACAACTCCACAGCCCCTGACTGAGCTGCTTGTGAAGATGGGCGGAATCTTGCTAAGTGTAGGACTTTCACCCCAGATGCAGCGCCCTCCCAGTGCTACCTGCTGACCACCTGGAGCAGTGTTTCTCACATGGGTAGCATGTGTTCTCACGGACCTGTGACACATATGCTTTTCCTTTAGGAAGGAGTCTCTGTGTTATTTACATTTGACATACCCCATCAGTGGAAAAAGTTTAAGCTTCATAATTCCAGAGTCTTCAGAACTCCTCTGACATGATCCCTTCATTTCAGCCAAACTCGGCTGCACCCAATTGCTTGTTACACAGAGGCCTTATAATCATTCCGATTGCTTTGCCTTAAATCCCCTTTCCTTTCTGCTTTTTCTTCCCCATCATCATTCCTACGTCTGCAACTGGTAGACTATGCATCCTTCCAGGCTCGGCTAAAATGGTCCCTTTCCTTTGGATCCTACCCTGTTCCACCTCAGGCAGAAAAATTGCCTCCTTCTCCTTCCTCTGTGTCACTTTGTAGAAACCCCTGTTATGGCTTTTCCACACTGTATTCGTGTTGTTTACTACCCATCTCTCTCTTCCTGGCTGATACGCGAGCTCCTCAAGAGCAAGAACCCTACTTTTTGTCCCTGGAGCACAGGGCTCAGCACATAGTTGAAACTTAATCAAATGTCTGTTGAATAAATGAGATGATCTCAAATTAGTTCAGCACCGGAAACCACCTGGCATGCACAGCTGTCTGTCTCAGGCTTCTGCTCTGCTGATGCAAACGACCTTCCTTAACCACCAGGAGCCCCAAAACACAGACACTTAAATCCTGGTACAATGATATATGAGGAAGGAGGACCGAGCTTAGAAAGCTTCTTTTACATCACTGTAAACTTCTCAGTTTTGTTGTACACTGTCCCATCCCATCTTTCTGTCTAAATAGCAAACCATCTATGCTGTAGGGTTAGATGCCCACGGAGGCTTGTGAGTGTGTACATTCTCTTTGTACTTGGTGCCTTATGCCCCAGTGGCATAGCTCCCTGAACATAATATAGTCTAGAGGGTTTCCATGTGGTGTCTGAGGACCCCTGGGAATCCCTAAGACCTTTTCACTGGTTCTACGAGGGCTTCCCTTTTCCAGCTACATATCTGTATGAGGCTGGATTTTCCTTTTCTACGCTTCAATGAAAACAATGTATTGCAACAGATGGAATGCAGAAGAAAATATGTGAATCTAGCTGTCTTCTGTTCAGACTTTAAAAAGATTTGCAAAAGTATAAAACAATGCTATTTCTCTTACTAGTTTTTCAAAAAATGTACTTATCTTTCATAAAAATATGTAATTTAGATTCACACGCAATGGGTTTACTATTTTTATTTTAAAATTTATACATATTTTGAGATTCCTATTTTCATTTCTAATATAGTAAATCTCAATATGGTAAATAGAAACAGTTCTTTGGGGTTTTCAATAAACTTTTTAAAGAGTATAAAGCAATCTTCAGATTGACACCCATATCGTGCCTCTGGGTCTTTCCTGTGCTGTATTTCCATCCCAGAATATAGTTCCCACTTCCACATTTGTCTGGGAAATACTTATGTAACTATAAATATTCCCTGGTTCTCCTATTCTCTGGATTCATTCCTTCCTTCTTGTGTGCTATTATATCCTGAAAAACATTTATTTCTGATATCTCTGCATTGTTTAGGCATCTGTCTCCCTGACAAAACCACAAGCTCTCTAAAAGCAGGAACCCTGACTAATTAATCTTTTATTTCCAGTGCTCAGTACAGAAAACACGGTCTATGAATATTTGTTGAACAAATGGACTAAAATAAGGAGGTCTGAATTTTAGTTTCAGTTCTGCCTGTAACTAGCGATGTGACTTTGGGCAAGTCACTTGACCTCTCTGACACTCAGTGTCCTCATTGGTAAAATGAGAAAACTTAGACTATGTGATATCTAAGGTCCTATCTCACTTTGACATTGATGTCTAAGTTGAATCGTGGGTGCATGATAGCTTGGCATTAATATTGGTGTGAATCCCATATAAAAATAGTTGACATTTACCACAGTTAGTAATAGCAACTGTATTGGGATCTTCCTCCTTTTATTCCAACATACTAAAAAATGGGAATTCTTTCCAATTTTCGTTCTGGGTCTTCCCTGGGTATGGAGCAGCATCACCCCAGCTAATGACCGTGGATTTAGCTGAGCTCTCCCATGTATGTAACATCTTTGCCCTTTAGGCCTCAGCAACCCCCCCAACCCCCCACCTTGCCTCTTCAGTAGTGAGAAAACCCCTTATCTTGCTGGGGTGATGTGGAAAGAAGAATGAGATGGGCACCCATAGACGCCCATGAGTTTTGTTCAAACAAAGATTTCATTCCCTTACCTTCCAAGAGCTGTCAGAGGCCCTTATCAGCGTGGACAGTAGGTCTTGGAGAATCACCATTTTCTGTTTTAGAACCAGTTCCCTTTGGAGGGCCTCCTGGGGGGAAAAATGCAAGAAGGTAAGATTAACCTGGAGGAAGAAGGAGTAGATGGGTGGAGGAACTGAAGAGAGAGTTCACATGTTACTTACTTTGAGGTACTCAGAAAGCTGGATGATTTCCTAGAGAGAAAGAAAAAGGGTATTCAAGAAGACTCTAGGGGTGCCTGAGCCCCACCTCAGACTCTACACTGACAGTGTGGCGCCTGCTTGGGGTTCTCTCTCTCTCCCTCTCTCTCTGCCCCTCCCCCACTCGTGCTTTTTCTCTCTCTCTCTCTCTCAAAATAAACTTAAAAAAAAAAGAGGGGTGTCTGGGTGGCTCAGTCGGTTAAGTGTCCAACTCTTGATCTTGGCTCAGGTCATGATCTCTCGGTTCATGGGATTGTGCTCTCATTGAGCTCTGTCCTGATAGCATGGAGCCTGCTTGGGATTCTCTTTCTCTGACCCTTTCCTGATTGTGCTCTCCCTCTCTCTCAAAATAAACAAATAAGCTTTAAAAAAAAAATTAAAAAAAAAAAAAAAGAAGGAAGACTCTAGGTTCCCTGAAATCCTGGAACATGGAACCAGAGCCAGGACTGGTTCATGTCAAGTAAATTTCTTCCTTGGCTCAGAGTCCCCCAGGCCCCTGTCCCTTTGCTTATCCAGGAAGAAGGTGTCCCTCCATCCCAGCTGTATTTACCATAGAATTCCAGAATGTCAGAACTCAGAAGAGCTGAGATATCATCTGAGTCAACCCCTTCAAAGTGAGGATTTTCTTACCTTATCTAGAACTGCAACTCCATAACTGGGAAGAGAAGAAATAGAATAAAATGGCAATGGATCAAAGAAAAAAAAGCACATCAGGAGGCAGTGGGTCGATTCCTTCTCTGATCTCTTCTGAAGAGCCAGTAGGGTAGGGAAGGTCTTTCTCTAAGTTAAGGTGGGCATGGAAGTTCATCATGCTCCTTCTCCACACACTGGGTGAGGGTTCAAGCAGAGCTTATCAGAGTGGAATGGATGGGATGTAAGGAAGCTGGGGTCACATGGAAGTACTCACTTGGTTTGCTGACTGGCATCATTCTTAATTGTTGGCTGGGCTTCTTCTGCCTTTGTCTGAGTGCCTGAGCAATGGAGGATAAGGTGATTCAGAACCCATGGAGGAGGAAGTGGGAAGGGAGAGGCCTCTCCACTGCCAGCAAGCTGAGCCTGCTGTGGCAAGGTTTTCTTCAGGCTCCAGTGAGGGAGGGAGGCTCAGCTCTTACCACGGTGGTGTGTGGGTGGCTTCTTGATGGGAGAGTCCTGTGGTGAAAGGCCCCCAGCCTGGGAGGAGAGGTGAGCCAGATCCCTCTGGGTGCTTGAGGAAGGGTGACGCTGAGTTGGAAAGGCGTCAGAGCTGGTTCCTGACACCTGGAAAGCAAGTAGGGGATGCTGAAAGCCTAGAGCTTCTTACAGCGTGATTCTCCAGCAGATTGCAGAAAGATGAACCAGTGATCAAGTTTCAGATCCAGAAAGCCAAAGTAGCCCATTCCAACCTTCAAAACTACAAAGTTGTCCCTGCTCCTGCCCTCTCTTGTCCTGGTTGGTGGGTATGGTTCTCCACAGACCAGGCAAATGGGGAGCTGGGCTTGTCTCTACTTACTTTCTCTAGAATCCCTGATCTACCTTGTTTGGTTTTAGCCATTTACACTGCCAGTATGGTGATGTGGAAAGAGGACTGGTCTTAGAGTGAGGGGGTCTGGGCTAGATCCTGCCTTTTCTACTAGGTCTTGGTCTCCTGTTTGTGTATGAGTGTGTGTAGTGTGGATGATCTCCCAGGCCCTTTCCATATTGGAGAGGTGGCTTCCTTCCTCTCAGTAGTAGCCAGAATACCACTGAGGTTTTGTGTGAAGAGACGTTAGAGCAGGGAGGTATGGGGAAGAGTGTTGTAGTAGCCATCACAATCTAGTCTGCTCTTTTTTTTCTTTTTAAGTATATTTATTTATTTTTGAGAGAGAGAGAAAGCATGAGTGGGGGAGGGGCAGAGAGAGGGAGAGAGAGAGAATCCCAAGCAGGCTCTGCACCGTCAGTGTGGAGCCTGATGCGGGGCTTGATCTCATGAACCATGAGACCATGACCTGAGCTGACGTCGGACACTTAACTGACTAAGCTACCCAGATGCCCCTCTAGTCTGCTCTTTTTGTATTTTCTTTATGCAAACTCAAAAATTCTAGGATTGTAACAGAACACTAAAAGGCTAAGAAATGCCTATAGTATCCAACCATGCAGACTGACTCAATCTCAGTAAAACCTTAAACAACCAATAGGCATAGGTAAAGTTTTTTAGTTAAATGTGCTTTCGTTCTTTTTCTCCTTAAAAAAATTTTTTTTAAACAAAAAGCTTTCAGAAACCTCTTGCCTTAGAAAGTACACAGTTGGTTTTATTTTACAATTGAGCTCAAGGATCATTTTTGTGAACAGCACCTTCTATTGTGGCTAACAGATCCACTGGTTAAGAAGCCCTGAATGAACTTCTACTCTGGGTACGGAACCAGGCCAGGCACTTCCAGGGAATATGATGGACCCATCCATGTTGTCAACATGCTCAGAACATGGATAGGAAGACACAGATGGTTTGCTGGCTGAGATCATCTCGGCACACCCTGATTTTTGCCAGCACTGCTCCTTCCCAGGCCAGAATGATGGGTGCTCTAAGTATTATTACACAATCTTAGAGGATTTATAACCTCATAAGGACCGCAGAGAGCAGAGGTGGCCTGGAGAAGCCAGAGAAAGCTTACTGGACCACGCAAGACCTTTACTGAGTGAATTTAGTACAAATGGAATGGTCTAAGTGAAAGAGAAAATGTAGGTGGGTGCAACAGGAGGGGTGTGTGTGTGTGTGTGTGTGTGTGTGTGTGTGTGTTTCTGAGAGGGGGCATCAAGAAGATGGGCCTGTGTCCCTGGCATACAGTAAGCATATACAGTATATATTTGTGGAATGCTGGATGAATGAATGCTGTAAAAGATATGTATAGATTGCCTAAATTTGAACTGATAACTAGGAATTAGCAATGGACTTACTTTCTAAATTATTTTTTCTTCCCTAAAAGGCAAATGCAAAACAAAAAAATACCTAAGCAAACAAAGACCCAAACAATAAAAGTCTCCGAATGAGTAAGTGGCTACGGGGGACTGCTATATGATTAGGGAAGAAGGAACTTAATTTCAATCGCTTTTTAGTGACCTTGAGTCCACCCACGTGCCTGCCACCATCCAGAGCAGTGTGTCCCTTGACATGACCCACCTGCTGCCGGGGGGAGGAGGAGATCCTGCTGGCCCAAGACAAGGGCTCCTTGAGGTCAGTTGGCTGGCCTGGCCTCCTCGAGGGACCGTGCTCCTTGGCCCTGGGGCTCTGTGTCTTGCCTTTCTCCTCCACCTGCAGGTTCCTCCTCCTGAAGAACTCCTGTTGTCGTGCTCTCTGGAGCTGCTCTCTCTGCTGGGTCCTCAGCGCCTTCCCCACCTGGCGGCAAGTGGTCACATTGGGGCGGCAACGGCGGCTTTCACGGGTCTCTTGCCGGCGCTCACACTTGGCCTCATAGCTCTCGGCCCACCGGGCCAAGCCAGGGGAAGGCCTGGGGTCCAGGCTGATCATGATGACCTCCTGAGCACCTGTTGTGCTTGGCTTCCAGTTCCTGGAATAGCTGCCTGGGTCTGCCAAATGCCAAGAGGGAGGAGAAGGGGAGGGGTCAGGAGATGGGCAGAAAAAATGACTATCTCCCAGGACCAGGGGGCAGAAATAGCACAGCATCCCATGCATGTAGGTTGAAAACTGAGGAGGTGATGGTGTCGAACTGGGAATCAGGACTCCCGGGTTCAGTCTCCATACTAATTATGGAGCTTTCCATACTGCTTCCCTCTGGCCTATGTTTCTCCCTCTGCAAAGTGGAAAGATCTCTCTGGCTTCCACTTCTTCCTTGACCTTCCTTGATCTCACCCTGCCTCTAAGTCAGGAATAATTGATAAAATTGTCATGTGTGTATAGCCTTTTGGATAGCAGCTAGGGATGTGTTCATTTTCCAGAGACTTCTAGAGAACCAGGTAAATTGGCTCCTTGTTCTTCAATCTAAAAGAAAATAATCTTTACTGTTCTCTTGGCCCAAGTTGTTGCTAAATAGGTGAGTGACTCTTGTCAAGGCCTGGAGGGATAACCAGACCCCCCCCCCCCCAAGGTGTGGCCAGTCCTGTGACCAGCACCCACTGCTATCTTTTTAGCCCTTAATGACTGGCTTCTGAGCCTGGTCCTGGGCATGGTTGAGGAGGGAAAGCTCACCCTAATTTCTCCAGTCATGAAGTACTGACATTGGTCCACTGACATCTACTTCTGGCCCAGGACTGTGCTCTGACCCTCAGGAGCAGATCAACTCAAACCAGTATCAGCTGAGTACCTGCCCTCTGTCCAGTGTTGACTGAAACCCATTTCAGAGCTTCCAGCTCAATAGCCCTCCAAGCTGAAGGTTCCATGTTTTAGAATCTCCTCTCTGTTAGGGCTAAGTATGCCGCCAGGTCAGCTCTCCTTGGCCCAAACAGAGATTGTACCATCAAAACTAGCAACTACACGAATTACACCTCAATGAGGCTATTACAAACAAAAATGAAACAAAGGCAAACAGTGTCGACAAGTCCGCAGGGAACCAGGCTTGGTGAAGAAGCCACACTTGTTGCCCCTTTACATGGTCCTACCTGCTATTCACAGAACCCCCAACTCTAACTCCTTCTTCCTTCTCTGTGCCCTTTTCTCTCTTTCCTACCCTCCCTCACCTACCTTCTGCAAATTAGTTTATTTTCCTAGAATCCTCTCTGGTAACTTGGCTGAGTTGGGGCTGGACTTGGCTGAGCTGGTCCTGAGAGCTGGAAATTCTGCACCCTGCCTCCACTGATCGCTAGAGTCAGCCCAGTGGTTGATGAAGGAAGAGGGACTCCTTCTGCAGCTTCTCCTCTGTGTCCTGCAACTTCACTACCCACAACCCGAGAACCCAGTTCCTGGAGAGGTCAGAGAGGGCATCTCAGCTTCATCGACCAGCAGGCAGTTACCAGCTCTGGCCCCTTGATTTTATTTATAGGCCAAACAGACTCAACAGGTAGCAGACTCTCTGTCCTTTTATTGGAACTTTCCTGCCCATCTGGCTCAGTCCAGAATTCTCTGCAGGATCCTTGCTCTCTCCAGGATCATACCACTTGTTCCCTGGGGTCATTCATGGGTGGGGCGGTCTCACTCCAGGAGAGTGGTCTTACAAGGTCAAACTTGGCATGCTGTCAAATGCCTGACTCTCCAGGCTTGGAGGGGCATCCTCCGGCTATGGGCAGTTGCAGACCCTAGGCAGGACTGTGAGGCTGTTAGTGCTTGTTCTCTCGTCCCACCCCTGGGTGGCTTTTCTCTTTAGGCTTTTCTTCTCGTTCCTACTCTGTAGATGTTCCCTGACTTCCCACCTGCTTCCTCTGTTATCTAAAACCTTAGAACAGTATCCAAAAGGCTCACTCATTTTAAGTTATACATGACTGAATGGATTATGTACAGGTGAACTCCATGTCCAGAATCTATGCCTGTGGTATAGGAAGGTATTCTGCCTTTGATGGGGGAGGCAGAGAACCCTGGCTCTGGACTCAGGCCGTGTGGATTCATATCCTGGCTCTGTCACCCACTACCCCTGTGCTTTTGGACAAACTATTACACATCTCTAAGTCTTAGTCTTTTCATTTATAAAACGGGGCCACAGCCTCCCTTGTAAGGTGATAAGAATTAAAGAGAAAATGCACATCAAGCATCTGGCACATAACGCACAATAAATGTTAGCTTTTTACAATACTAAAGTGGGATGATTATTACCCCTTTCTTGCTGATCTTAGCTATTAAAGACTCAGTGCTGTAAGACCAACGCCTCCGGCTAGACTAGCACTGCAGGACCAAGAGAATGCCTCATCCTTCCGTCTCCCACCCTCTTCTCTTTGAAGGAGTGCTGTTTACCACATGGAGGGGATGCTGGCCTCGGGTTGAAATCATATTTACTGCTCTGGTTCCTCTGACCTCTGCGTGTGGGCTACAAGGCAAAAGGGCTTCTCTGTGGTCTGGACACAAGTGCCATCGCAATTAGGCCCAGCAGAAAGGCAAAGAAGAGGCGGGGTAAAGAACCGGTGTCCAGCGTGCCTGCATCCCGCCATTAAAACGTGGGCCGCTAGGTCCCCTCCCTGTAATCCACAGGCTTTGTAGAGGAGGCAAAGCCTGTGATTATGGAGAATCCTCCCACCTTCCTGCCATGAGGTGGAAAGGGCTGCGGGGAAGGAGACGGAGCCTGAGGTAAGGTCTTCCCCCAGGCGGTCCACACCAGTGGGCCACTTCGCTTAAAAATACAGCTGCCTCACTCTGCTTCCTGAGGGGCAGATGCTGGGATCCGTTACTCCAGCAGGGAGTTGCAGTAGAAATGGCTCCTTAGAGAAGGGAGCATTCCCAGACCCCCAGGCCCTTACACCCGGGAGGATTAGGTGCGCACAGCTGAATGGAATCATATCCAGCTTTCTGGGATGTTTTGACTATTCCGATTTGCTTAAACACAAGAAGCCATGTGGGACGGCTGACTGACAGGGATAGGCTGTAGAAGAAAAGGGAACTGGTCCCTGTGTGGTTCAAAGAAAGGTCACTGGGCCACTGCCCAGGCTTTCTGGCATCTGTGGGGTGTCCCTTGGCAGTATGACAAGTCCCATTGGAGCTTGGGGAGGAGGTGGTATGGCTGAGGGCATCCTGCCTCAGGGAGAGGTCAGGGTGGTGCCCTCACCTGACAGGGGTTTGTTGCTTCCTTTCCAAGTCTCTGCTCCTACTTCCTGCTTGTGTGTGCAATGAATGGCTTCCTGCCCGGGTCTGACCGCCCTAGAGCAGAGATCCTAATGCGAGGTGAGAAGGCAAGGGCCTGCACCTACGTGCTCTAATGGCAGCTTGTTGTCTGGGGGGGACTCCTGCTTTGAAGGGAACTGTAAAAGTTCATTTAATTCATGCCCATCACTGGGCAGCCTGGACCCTAAGTCATTTGACTCACTCCTAATCTAATCTAATGGATGGAGCAGAGGAGCGACAAAAGCCGTACCCTTGTAGTGTGGCTTGTGCCCTTGGGAGCCAGTGCAGGATGCTTTCTTGCTTACCCAACCCCCCCAACACTCTTCAACTAATCCATCTGCTTCTGCGTCTCCCCCTTCAGCCAAGGGAAGCTTCAATGACAGATCACCTTCTTCCCCACCCCAGAGTTGGAGGTCCCCAACCTGGACACAAAAGCATCCTCCTTCTCAGTTACCTTGGGTCCCAGGCTCCAAACCAAGCAGCTCAGGAAAGCATTCCAGCTGCTGGGCAGATCTTGGCTGTGGTCTCAGATGGGGCAAGGCAGCAGCTGGGTCAAGTGCAAGCTGTCAGTCCATGGCCCTGGGCCCCCTTAGCATTTTCCTTCTTCGTACTGTCTTTCTTTCTGCACAGCAGCCTTGCTGAAACAGGAAACAGACAAAGCCACAACGCTTGCTCACCCCAGTTCCTCTCTCTTGCTCTCTGGCACAATCTGAGTGGGCCCCTGAGCCCTTGAGGCCTCTGGGGCTGGGCACAGGAGCTCCTCCCATCTTTGGGCACCCCTGCCACCCTTTTTCTTGCTAGTGGGTCAATGTGAGCTCTCAGTTGGTTTCAAATCAAGATCCCTTTCTAGAAGTAGACAAGGATGGGACTCTGGGTCACATGCAAACCTTGCAGTTTCGATGAGGGGGAAGATGCCTTTTTGGCCTAGATGTTCCCAGGATAGATTTGCATGTGTATCAGGTAGCTCTCCGTGTAAGGATTTTCTCTTTCCTCTGGTTACCTCTTCCCAATCCTAGAGAGTTGTAAAGGGCTTCTGCTTTTCTGGGGGCACCTGGGTGGCTCAGTTGGTTAAGCATCTGACTCTTGGTTTCGACTCAGGTCACGATCTCACAGTTCATGGGTTCGAGCCCTGTGTCGGGCTCTGTGTTGACAGCGTGGAGCCTGCTTGGATTCTGTCTCCCTCTCTCTCTGCCCCTCCCCTGCTTATGCTCTCTCTCTCAAAATAAATAAATAAAAAACTTAAAAAAAAAAAAAAGTTTCTGCTCTTCTGAAGTACTTGGTGTCTTTTTCAGAATTCAGGAATGAAGCCAGCTCTGAATCTGCTCCTTTCTGAAGCAATGAGGATGTAAAAAGGTGAGGGATGTGTGGGCTGGGGAGCGGCACGACAAATAGCAGACAGAATCTCATAAAAAGTTCCAACCAGGGGTGCCTGGGTGGCTCAGTTGGTTGAGCGTCCGACTTTGGCTCAGGTCATGATCTCACAGTTCATGGGTTCGAGCCCGGCATCGGACTCTGTGCTGACCGCTTGCTCAGAGCCTGGAGCCTGCTTCGGATTCTGTGTCTCCTTCTCTCTCTGCCCCTCCTCCGCTTATGCTTTGTCTCACTCTGTTTCTCAAAAATAAATAAATAAATAATAAAAGTTTCCAATCAACTAGGAAATTTGGGCAAAAACTAAAAAGAACTGATCTGTGTGCATTAAAAAGAACTATTACAGGGGTGCCTGGTGGCTTGGTTGGTGAAGTGTCTGACTCTTGATTTCATCTCAGGTCACGATCTCATGGTTGAGAGATTGAGCCCTGTGTGCGGCTCTGTGCTGACAGCAGGGAACCTGCTTGGGAATCTCTCTCTCCCTCTCTCTGCCCCTCCCCCGCTTCTCTCTCTCTCTCTCTCTCTCTCTCTCTCTCTCTCTCTCTCTCTCAAAATAGACACTTAAAAAGAAAAGAAACGGGGCGCCTGGGTGGCGCAGTCCGTTAAGCGTCCGACTTCAGCCAGGTCACGATCTCGCGGTCCGTGAGTTCGAGCCCCGCATCCGGCTCTGGGCTGATGGCTCGGAGCCTGGAGCCTGTTTCCGATTCTGTGTCTCCCTCTCACTCTGCCCCTCCCCCGTTCATGCTCTGTCTCTCTCTGTCCCAAAAATAAATAAAAAACGTTGAAAAAAAATTTTAAAAAGAAAAGAAACTATTACAAATGATATTATCAGGAAATTCACAAGAAGTTCAGGATAAGAAGGTGGTGAGGAAATTGGATCAGGACAAATTAACTAAGTAGCTTTATAACTATGCGCAATAAGCCTTGAACGAATGGTCCACTCGGTACAGTGGTTGGATGATTCATATGGCTCCTATGAATTCTAGTCTTGACACATGTGAAGTATGTAAGGAGACTTTTAAATAGCTGTGATAAGATAACAGTAACATGTAGGGAGTATGTCACAGTCTTCTCCGCTGCCTACTACTTACCCCATTCTCTGAGGAGGAAACGGACAAGAAGAAGGCAGGGGAAAGGACAGAGGATGAATTCTCCAGCACTGAAACTGAAGGCAAACAACATTCCCTCAGGATAAGAGACAAGAGCTCAAGGTCCCGGAGCCTGACATAATAGAGATGAGAATGAGCAGAGACAGAGAAGTTGGGGAATCCAAGATGAAGGAATAAGACATTTTTATTGGCATAGCTGACAAAGAGGGTTCTGGTGGTTCAGGGCCCTAGGAAATACAGGTCGAAACAGAAGTTCCTATGGATCAACTATTTGGACTCTATCAAAAACCAAAAAGAAATGTGTATGAGGATCAAAATCCCTTTTAGGCCTATGCACTCAATGAGATACCACACCCATCATCACGAAAGAGGTAAGGCCATTACCTTTGTTTTCAGCCAAGAATTCTGAGAGCCTAAACAATTGTGACTGTACTCACTAACACGCTAATTCTGGAGATATTTGCTGTTTGGTAAAATTAGTAGTAGTGTTATCTTCTTGCTGAAACTGGCAGTTTTCTTTCCTGGTTTAAACGGTCATTTCTTGCCACAGCCTTGATTAAGTTATTCCCATTATGTCACAGATGCCTCACATTTCAAACTTAAATATCCTCTCGAGCCTTTTCTATACATGTTGCACATTTTTATACTTACTCTTCTGATATATTTTTAAATTTTTTTTTTATTTTTTAAGTAACCTCTACTCCTAACATGGGGCTCAAACTCACGACCCTGAGATCAAGGGTCTCATACTCTACTGACTGAGCCAGCATTGCTGATCTATTTTATACTCAGAACAATCTATTGTTCATAACAGAGAATATTTAAATTGATGCAGTAAGATTGAACTAAAACTGATCTCACCAAAGTTCTGACAGATTGCTGTCAGCCTGCTCTGCAGAGAGCATTTTAGGAGCACTCTTTGAAGACTAATAAGGCAGATTGATGGAGAAATGGGTCAGAAAGCATTCAGATTTTCTTTTTTCAGCTTTATGAAAACCATTAAAATAACTTTTAAAGTAGAAAAATAAACATCTTAATCCTACTCCCCAAACACAAGTTCCATATTTTTCACATTGCCTTCTAGTTTTTCTTTCCTTCCTTCCTTCCTTCCTTCCTTCCTTCCTTCCTTCCTTCCTTC